CCCCCCCCCCACTGCACTGCGGGCAGAACGCGACGTCCGACCGTCGAGCATGTACCGAACATGCGCCAAAAGAAGATCGCATTCTCACTCCATTTTCTGTGCTCGAGCATTAGATATTACATTCGGGAACCGAACATGGCAGCTCGGTAGCCTCTGATTGGCCCACTTGCAATGTTCTTTGCATGTAAAGCCCGGCTAAGTGATCACTCTTCGAACATTGCAGGAAAATGCGATCTCTCGCGGCCATTTTCCGACGCATGTTCGACCGCCGAACTTCGTCAATTGCCCACGGTGCTGGCGTGCAGCGCTGTGTGGACGCGACAAAGCGTCGTCGAGCACTGTGGAACGGGTGAGGATTGGTATGGTAGGTACTAGTACAGGGGAGTGGCACGCGGCTTTTGGGCGGTGTATGGGGTACGGAGAGCAGAAGAGACGGGGCCCGCGCGCTACATGCGCTCGAGCGGCTGCAGACTGAGCAGGCGCATCGCGGCGCCGAGGACGTCGCGCGCACAGAGGTACATCCACATGCGCACGCGCGCGGTGGGCTCGTCGGGCGCGCCCTTGACGACGACGGTCTCCCACGCGCTCGAGATGGCGTGCGCGAGGCGGAACGCAAAGGTGACGACGCCGCTGGGCTCGTGCGTGCGCAGCGCGGTCGCGACGACGTCGGGGTACGACCCGAGCAGGAGCACGATCTCGCGCGCGGCGGGCTCCGTGAGCAGCGCGGTGTCGAGCGCCGCGCGCGGCGGGAGCGGGAGCAGCGCGGGGTTCTTGCGCGAGATGGACGCGATGCGCACGTGCGCGTACTGCAGGTACGGGCCCGTGTCGCCTTCGAAGGAGAGCATGCGGTCCCAGTTGAACGTGTAGTTGTTGATCCTGCGCGGCGCGTCAGTCCGTCAGTCCGTCAGTACGGGCAGGCGGGGCGGGGCGGGGCTGCGCACGCACCGCTTCGCGGCCATGTCCTGGATCTTCACGCCGGTGATGCCGATCTCCTGCGCGACGGCGGCGGGGTCCTCGACGTTCTTGTACTTCTCCTCGTTCTTGCGCATCTGCTCGTGCATCACCGTGCCCGCCTCGCGCATGATCTCGTTCAGGAACACGACGGTCCCGCGCCGCGTGCTCATCCCGAGCACGAGCCCGTAGTTGACGTGCTCGAGGCGGTCCGCCCACGGGAACTCCATCAGCTTGAGCACCTTGAAGAACTGCTTCACGTGCAGATCCTGCTGCGACGAGATCACATAAATCATCTTGTCGAACTTGTACTTCTCGTACCGCTCCGTCGCCCCGCCAATGTCCCGCGTCAGGTAGATCGACGTCCCGTCTGTGCGCGGGCACAGTCAGCACCGGGGCGCACATCCGCGGGCGGAGCGGGGCACGCACCTTTCTTGCGCACGACGGCCTTGCCCATCTTCCACTGCTCCAGGTTCACCAGCTTCGCGCCCTCGTGCTCGTCGATCAGCCCCATGTCCTCCAGCCGCTGCAACGCCTGCGCCTGCGCCTCCTTCCCCACCTGGCTCTCGCCCGTGTACACGTCAAAGCGCACGTTCAGCCGCGCGTACTCCTCCTCGTACTTGCGCACGGACAGCTCGCGCCAGACCCGCCAGTTCGCCAGCGCCTCCTCGTCCCCGTCCTCCATCCGCCGGAAGAACGCCGCCGCCTCCGCCTTGACTGCCGGATCCGTCTCGGCGTCCTTGTTAATTTTCACGTACACGTCAAACAGGTGCTTGATCGCGTCCTTCTCGAGCTCCTCGCGCGAGCCGTACTTGTCGAATCCGACCGCGATCAGACCAAACTGGGCCCTGCGGCGTCAGCGGGCGCGGCTGGGCAGAGACAGACGGAAAGAGAGGATACTCACCTGGGTACCCCAGTCGCCGAGATAGTTCATGGAGATGACTTCCCACCCGCAGGCCTTGTAGAGGTTCGCGAGGAACGCGCCGATGATGGTGCTGCGCAGGTGGCCGACGTGGAACTGCTTCGCGATGTTGGGCGAGGAGTACTCAATGATGACGCGCTTTCCGCGCCCCGTGGCATGCGTGCCGTACTCGGGCGCGCCGGACGCCGTCTCGTGTGTGAGCGCGTGCACCTGGTCGAGCACGAGCCGCGCGAGCGTGCGCGTGCGCAGCGTGAAGTGCAGGAACGCCTTGTCGTGCACGATGTTGTCGATCCACTCGTCGGGCTGGAACTAACAGTGCCAAAAGCAGTGAACACACGACGCTCCCGCAACGAGCTCGGGCGCAGCCACGGAGAGCGACGGCAAGGGCGCGGATGTCGCGCGATCGGAGGAGGAGGGAGACGGGCGACAGGGAGACCACTCACGTTGCTCAGGACCTTCGCAGCCAGCTCGTCGACCTTGCCCGGTAGCCGGAACCGGGGCAGGGCAACGGTGAAGTCGACGCCCTTTTTTCCGTAGTCGACGCCCTGATAGGCCTGCTCGACGGTCAGCGGGGGCAGGGCATCCGCCACACGCTGAGCGATGGCGGTGCGGAATGCGTCGAGCACGCAACGCTCGGGGTCGGTGCCGGGTACGAGGGGGAGCGGGGGGAGGTTTGGGGGAAGCTTGAAGGGCGAGGGCGAGGGCGAGGGCGAGCTGGAGCCCGCGGCGGGGGCGTCGGTGGACATTTTGCAGAGCGTACGGACGCAGGGGCGGCGGAGAGATACAAGTGGTGGTACAGAAGAGAAGAGCGCGCGGCGGAGGAGAGCCACGGCGAGCAGCCTGGGGAGAGTCGGCGATTGTATCGTTGGTTATCGATCGCAGGGCAAGTTTTTTCGGTGGAATGCAGGAGACGGACGTCGCAGTGACTCGACTCCATCGCGGCAACACCCCCGGCCAAAACCGGAAGGCGTTTAAGATCGTGCTTTGTCCCAATCTCAATACCATCCAGATTCAGATCAGTAGTGTATTATTACGTCTAGGAACATGCACAACGAGAACAACTACAAAAAAGAAACAAGATGGAACGAAATTCAACGCAAGTAGGTATAATTTACGACTAACATCAGCACTCTATCAAGGCTGCAACACCAACACCCTTTTCTGTCGCGCTCACTAAACATGTCACCATTCAATCACGTCGGGGAAGAACTTTGCGATTAGCCCCTGGTAATACGGCCGGAGCATCTCCGGATTCACTCCCTCGTCGCTCTTGCTGTACAAATCATACGGGTTGAACGCGCGCACAGCCGCCAGCGCGCGCTCATCGGCAGCGTTTGTCAGATGCGAGTATGCCCCTTCCCGGTGCCATCTGCAGCAAAACAGACATTTAGACACAGCCGGTCGACCCACGCAGACCACTTACGGATAGAAGCTATGATAGCGAATCATGTACAGCGCGTCTTCCGGAAGACGGCTCTGGTTTTTCAGGACGTTGTACAGGTACTGCGCAGCACAATCAGAACCGGGACGTTGACTGGATCGCCGCGCGTACCTCGTCGTGTCCCCATGACAGCATCACGTTCTCCAGACCACAATGTGGTGCGTAGACACCATACTCAGTGGAGTAAACCGGATCAGCGTGGTCCGGATTGCTCTCGAACGTCTCAGGATAGATGTTTTTCTCGGAAAACTTGCACCCGACGACGAAAGTGTCCTGTCGCACAGCCAACGTCAATGAGATCCAAAATCAGTCAGCTCCGGATGCACTCACACCCACGACGTCCCATTGGCCTCTGCGTGAACGTACAGATCATTAGCATGTCTGACGCGATCAGCGCAAGATCACACGTACTCCGACCCAAACAGATACAACAGCTTCCCGAGATCATGCACCAGGCCAGTAACCTATAGAAGCCATCAACTGATATTCAGGAACATGCGCTCTGGCGACACGGCGTACCTGCATCCACTCAGGCTTCCCATCCCGCCGGATCGCTTCCGCAGTCTGCAAGAGATGCTCAATCTGGGTAAGACTCGTCTGTGCGGGGCGTGAGTGGAGCATCGGACAGAGTAGCAGCACGGATCTCACATCTGGATCCGAATCGTCCACAAGGGTGTTGAGCATTTCCATCGCTTCCCATATGCCTAATCACGAAGGTCCGGACGCTGTGAGCATGTGTCTCGGACACATCAATCTTATGTACACCTACCCATCCTGGCGCGGACCGTTTTCTTGAAGCTCTCACGCGCGCGCAGATTGAACTCTACAGTTTGCTTCTCTGTGAGGGGAGTGCTCATTAGCCCCCGCCCTGCGCTGTACGATGCAGTCAGTACATACCGTGCTGCTCGCGATAGAAGTTCTTGACACGATCGCATGCATCCTCGTATTGGCGGAACGCCGCTTTGTTCTTATCTGCGTCGAACTCGGACGCTGCGTTCCAGGTGTCGTTCGATACGGTGCCCTTGAACTTGTTCACTAGAACGAAACCCAACCGCCCCCATCGTCAGATCGCGACGAGGATCTGGAGAACGACGCAGACTGACCTTCGTCGACAGCGTCGGAGACTGTCTCGAGTGCGTGGACGTCGACGGCGGGCATGGTGATAGAGTGTGCTGGGAGGTAGAAGGTGGAAGTCGAAGTGAGGAACGCGTTGGAGGCAGTGGAGCAGCAGACACCGGTGCTTTAAGTAGGCATTGGATCAGCGGCGCGCAGTGTCCTATTTGAACGTCTGTGGTTGGCCGGCATCACGATTCGGTCGCCAGGGATTCGAATTATGTCAGAGAGCCCGGCGGACGAGGCGCTGGCCATGCAGGAGGGCCTACATCATTGAGCCGGGGTGGGGGAGGAGTGACTATCCTGTGCGATCTTGTGTAGGAAGAACACGCAGGCCAGTGGTTGATACATGCGTGGGGCGAAGTCAGTGCGGACAGAATCGATGACGGTCCCGGCCAAGCGTCAATGCGCCGGAGGCAAACGGAGATGAAGACCGGACGTAAGCGACGCAAGATTTGTTCGTCGGTTCAATGTACGACAACTTGAGCCTATGGAATAAATGTGCGGATGGCTATTTCTGCTGGCCTACGCAGATGTTCTTTGCTCAGAAAAAAAATAAAGGATGTTGCCTGACCTTCGTGACGCAGATAATCCGACAACACAAAGTTCAGCAATCAGCGGTGAGATCTGAGTCGACATATGTTGAGATTCTCTATGATGGCATACCTCAGAAAGTGATCCCCCATGTTTCCGAGCCCGTGTCCCCCGGATGTACTCGGGAGACATTCGAGTGTGTCTAGACCCAGTGGTGAACTTGGGCGCCTCGATGATAGGTGCCTGCCTATTATAGATGGTATTCATCCATTTGCAGCCATTTACCTAACGATAAGTAGAGCTTTCGTGAGAATTTTGCAGTCACAACCGGTGCCACGATCAACGGTTCATAAAAAACCGCCTCTGCCGAGTGTTCCGGTGGCATCCGCTAATCGACGCAGGGGTCGTGCCACAATTTCTCCTGGCTCCGACGTTTTATTACACTCTCCGCTTCTCCGACCTTGTGCGCAAACGATTTCGATCGCCGGTCACTCGTTTAGTAAACAGGACATTTCTCCTTAATTTCTCCTGCCAAGGGATTCAACTGGCAATTACGTGCAGCACTTACTCGCGCGCTCCTACTGCGTCCTCCTGTCCGAGCGCGCTGTTGAAGGAGAACAGCCATCATGACGTCCAGGGATACCCTCGCCGACCAATCGACGCGTGGTCTCAGCTATCATTTCAGCGACCTCGCGCACATGCAGGAGTATTCCGACACGGATGAGGAACTCGAGGTTGCACGCATGCGAGAATACTCACACTCTCGGCCCCGCCGTCTCGGAATCCCTCCCATCATCGACCGTCGGTTCGAAAATAGCTACCTACAAAGTCTCAGCTCCTACGTGACGGTGGGGGAAAATTCGTCAGGCGAGAAGGGCAAAGCGAGAGCCACGACAGGCCCGACCCTGCGCATTCAATGGGGCAGGGTGTTTTGGGTCACGACGAGGGACCAGGTCATCAGCCCGTTACTCCAGGGCGTGGCAAGGTATGTATTGTCTCCACCACCCTTGTCGTGATGTACGTCTTGCTCATCGGTCGAATACCGTTCTCCATCACGCAGAGGCGTCGCCGGCGTATTCATCAGTCCTCTCCTGTCTGATCTGGGCTTCAAATTCCGTACGTGGTGGGCACACGGGGCGACGCGTACAGGGAGGGCTCACGCCGAGGGCCATGGCGTGGGATGGCTGCGAAACTGGCTTGGAAGTCTGACTTCCGGAACAGTGGGCGGTATTCGCCATACGGCGCCTGCATAAGTGCGCATAATGATATCACTCTTGGTCAGGCAGTTGGTGTCTCGGTGTAGCTCATCCGATATGTAGAATTACTTCCATCACAGCGTGGCTGCTCGTGCGACTACTCATCCCTCAGGGCTCGCCATAGACACTGGCGCTGCGGCGGTCGCAGCCACGACTTCAACCCATTCGTTCACCCACATGTACCGGGAGAACGCGACATACAACCACCGGAACCATACAAGCTGAGAACGGTGCTCCGTCATCGCTCGGAGCGCTCTTGTGTACTCCGTCACGCTCGACACGAAGACTGACGTCGTTCGAGCGTCCGCGGCCGACCCTATCTGGGGCGGCTGGACTGTGCCAGAATCAGCGCCTGAGTGGGGAAAGTTATTGATCCTTCCCCATGTATCGAAGAGGAAGCCTCTGGCTTTGGCGATGATAGCAGCGAGGGGACCGGTGTACTTTCGGAGAAGAGGCGCGGAGACGAGTGTGAAGAGGCGAGGTACGGCTGCGGAAGTATTCGTAGCGGACAACGAGGCGATTAGGTGACCAGCTCCCTGGGCAAGGGACATGTGGTTTGGGTGTGCGGAGATACCGAGGTGGTCAAACGTTAGAATCTATGCAGATAGTCAACAGACACGATGGTGTGGGGTAGGGCAAGACTGACATACAGTCGTAATTTTGCCCTGGAGAACATATGGCTTGAGCACGTCTGCAATGATGTCGGCATCCCAACGCGCCGTAAAGTTGTCTTGCAGGTCACTTTTAAATGATATTTGATCAGTGTGCTTACAGCAGCGAACGACGACTGCGTTCATATTTACGGCAATGGGGAAACATGCTGATATCATTGCAGTCGTCGGCAATATTGAATAGTGACATCACACGGTATGGGGCAACGGATGAATGGCTTTGGCAACAGACAAGTCATCAACGAGACTGAGTACTCACGGCCTGTCTTCAATCCACCTCCTCCCTGCCTCTACACCCAACACATCTAGACTCCGTTCCAACTCGCGTCTTCTGATCTTTCCCAGACCATCTGCATTGCCCACGGATAAACATAGAGAGAAGACCTCTAAGTCGCTAGCTAGGCTGTGGAGAGATAGCAATGTAGGCGCGAAGAACATGCACTCGTCATCCGGGTGTGCGGTAAGGAGCAGTATACGAGGGGTAGCGGGCGCAAGTGCTGCGTAGCTCAGGTGGTCTGATGGTGGCAAAACGAGGAGGCTTGTATTCCACTCAAAGCTAGTAGACAAGAAGCCGCAGAATATGGAGAGCACTAGCAGCAACAGAGTAAAGCCCATCACAAGAGCATGAGACCGCCTAGCAAGCACTGCCCCGTCAGCTAATTTCGGCACTTGGTCTGGGGTAACAAGATGTAAGCTAAGGCTAGCGTCTTCCTGACGAAGTCGTGCTGTCCGAACGAAGGAAGAGTTTGAGATGAAACACGTCGGACTGATTGGGTTCGGTTTGTTGACGTTGCCCTACTCTTACAGTCTTACTTGTGCTGAGATCTGAGCTCTGATCAGCTCGATTTGATTGATACTCGATATTGTTCACTTTGTTTTGAGTACGATTGATCATATTCATTGTACACCGATCTCGCGATATTATAGTAGGCCCCAAGGTAATATGTTTCATTTTTTTTTGACGAGAATCATCCTGACTGACTCTGCTTCAGTAAATGTACTAGGGGCTTACGGTGACCTCGCTACTTGTAGCACTAGTAGGTATGTCGCAATAACGGGGGCTCTCGTCACAGTCTAACCATAAGGCCACAGGGCAAAAAGAGAAATAAGAGCTACACGTAGACTGAATTGAACGGCGACGATAGAGTTCAAACGGGGTTATGATAGGACACATGCAAGCGTGCCGCTGTATCAATACCGGTGGCCACTCTCTACCCACTGCAGCCTCTGCAATCTGGCTCATAGGCATGCAAACGCTAAGACAGACTTGCCATTTGCAGTGTACCCACCGTGATGCTGTAAAGCCCTAGGTAGCTTTCGCATGCGGTGGATGACTAGTGAGTCAGCTTAGCAGCAGCAATCATTGGTGCTAATGCAGCACCGAAGTTGCGTCAACGTTTAACGTTCATGAATAGAAAAAGACTGATGTCGGATAGCAAGTACTAGTATGCCCTGGTGACGCTAATCAAGAGGCCAAGTCTGCGTGAGTGCTGAGTAAGTAAGGGGAGTCTGAGCCGCCGTGGTGGCAGCTGTCAGCTTTGTGGCCACACGTGAGAAAAAGAGTCGACAACGACATGATCTTATAGATTCGTCGTTCACCGATCAGAGAAGGCGCGATTTGGGTGCTAAATTTGGACATCTCCTAAAACTTAACAGATATGCTCACCCCCATCCTGTGTTTTACATTGCACTGCTGACTCCAGAAAATTTGCAAGGCACCCTGGCGCAGACTCACCGAGCTGACATGTTGTCCTTATGTAAAGACTCGGATGTTTGGATTAAACCAGTGGTAATTCCCAAGACGTGATTCGCAGGTAATCACCAGCCAATCAATTATTGGGATCTGGTTTCAAACCACGCGTCCTGCGGAGACCGCTTCGTCAAGCTCTTCTCAAGAGACGGCGGGCTCACGCTGTTGCCACGCTGCCACGGTTATCTTTGGGTTGCTATTTTGCACAGGTATTCTACGCATTGTCGGTGACTACCTTCATCATCTCTGCAGGTTGCCCGTGTCCCTCGGCGTGTCGTACGAGTTGGTGGCCTACAAGTCATTTCAAGAGTCATGTCGTTGTTTTGTGTTTCACGCGGGAGTGCGCACTACTCAGGGCAGCAATTGGACTGGTGACTGAGTGCACTGCCGCACTTACTACGCAGGGTCTCATTCAGCGATGATCCGACACCCTCGCCTGGGCGCTTACTATACAGCGGAGATCCCAGCCTGCGCGAACGGGACGCCAGCCAAGCTGCAGAATGACCTCGTGCAGTCATCATTGCTTCAGAGGAAGCCCTATGGGTTTAGTCGGCGGTGGCAAATGCTACTGTCCGCAGTCATCATCTCTGCGTGGAGTCAAGTTCTTAGCGTTGGACCTAAAACGCACAATTTAACGCACGATATCGCGGGGACTCGAAGGACGAGGGCGACCCCGACCTTGAAATCGCCTCAAGTGACCTTGAGCTATCAACTCCGACGCCTGAAGTTCAGCTTCACCTCAATTCATAGCAACACTACCTGTCTCCTAATTCTCTCATCGCCTCGGCATGCTGTGATCGGGGGCGCCACGCATCCCGCTCGCCTAGCGCCTACGCGAAGCCGATCGTATATCCACTATCCTATAAAGCGTCGGCTAGGCAGCCACGCTTAGTCCAGTCCACTCTCCACCTTCAAGTTGACGCCCACTTTTATTTTGCTTCCACCATGGTCGCTGTCCCCTCAGCCATTCGCGCTCTCCTGGCTGGTTCGGCAGCCTCTGCCCTTCACAACGGCTGGGCATCTAACAATTGGAACGGGTCAGGATGGGGCAGTGCGGCGGACTGCAACATTTCGACCTTCGTGCCCCAGTTTCCTCCGAACCAGACCCAGCTCGTTGTGCCCAAGGACCTCGAGCCGCACTTTATCGGTCTCGGATTCGGAGTGCAGAACTACACATGCACTTCCAGTAACACGTACTTGTAGGTCATCTACCCCTTTCTTCCAGTCACCAATCTTAAATTGGGACGACAGGAATGTTGGCGCATACGCGGAGCTGTTCGACCTTTCTTGCTACGTCAATGCCACTTGGTTCAGCACCGTCCAGGAGCCTGCATACGACGTATGGGTCGATGCCAACGTCTCCATTGCCCTTGTCATCGATTTTATCCACTTCCTCAACCCGCCACAGAATCTTGCTCAGCACTACTTCGTCCCCAATCCCCTCAACGCCAGCGCTGGTCTCAACCCCAAGTGGGACTTCACGTCGTCCGGCAAGTTCGAGGGCAACCCGAACGCGTTCATGATTGGCAAGGGGAATGGCACGCTCCCGTCACCAAACAATGCAACGACAGATATTGCCTGGTTGGAAATACTCAATTTGGAGGGTGAGATTGCTCAGGAGGTCTTCCGATATGACACTGTCGGCGGACAACCACCATCATCTGTGAGCATCTGCTACGGCGGTACACCTTGTCGTTGTGACTTACACTTAATTCGCAGTGCACCTTCGGGAAGAGCAGCAACATATCTGTCCCCTACACTGCGAAATACCGTGAGTACTACTATAAAATACCTCTGTAAATTTTGCACTTATATTCTACTTCTCAGTCTTTTATGGCGGCTCGCTTTCTCCGTGACGAAATTGACGATTTTATTTCATTTGACGAGGATCACAGTGATATGCGTTGTTTACTGTTCTAGTAGTATGTTAATAAGGCATAGCATACGATCCCTACCTGATCGTAATGAAATTGTATTTGAATCAAGTGGTTGTGGTTCGCAGATGCCACTGGCGACATGATATTACTTAGCTACTAGAGTTCGGCTGGTGGCATAAGTTGCCGATGCAACTTATTACACCGTCAAGCGCTCATAACGCGGGCGCGTGACCGTGACGATACGCGACAGTTAAGTTAGGGAGGCCGCGCTTGGGGATCGCGTCCGCTAAGGACCATCGCGATTCACCAGACCCTCCACCGCTCCATTTTGACACGCTCCATCTATTCGTCGTAGCCATTTCCCCCAAACATGGCTGAGCACGCTTCTCCTCGTGTGAATTCAGCACGCCTCGCGACTTTCCAAGGACGAACAGTCCGGCTCACATGCAAAACAATCAGGGCAAATCTCGCCGATTTGCAACTCATATCTCGGACTTGCTAACATCGGGATAAATCCAGGTACAGGGTGATACTGCTATTGTCCAAGCCTCGGATGGCGGCGAGGTGCAGGTCCAGTTGCAGAGGGTGCGCGGATTCTTTGTGTGCTGTTGAAGCATGGCGCGTAATGGCACGTATAACAGGAAGCTGTTTTGACGACAGCATACATTGAGGTCATCGGGAATGTAGTGGACGCCACTACGATTAAAATGCTGGCGTGCATCAATCTGGGCGACGAGCTCGGTATGTGGATGTGGATTCGATCATACTCGGGGAGAACTCACTCATTCTGGAATGTTTGAACTTGCGGTAGACATGAATCTTGTCAACGATGTTGTCGAACTATGGCACGACCCACGATTTGCTAAGATGGTGTAATGTCGGATCCGCTCGTCTTGGCCCGTTTACTGGTGTAGTAATTTATCCCACAAGTTGTTTTCGAAAAGAGTGTATTTGTTTGCTTTCTTCACGCAATGGCACACCGAAGTTCCATGATGATCGTTTTAACGGTGGTGAAGCTACGTGTGATATAACGTACCTTGATGGGTAGTCGCTTGCACAAAGTGTTGGTAAGAGTATCTATCCCACGGGAACGTATCAGCTTCGGTTTCTCTATCATAATACAACTGACACCTGGTCCGCTCAGACTGCGCAAACAGTACTAAAGTACTAACTACTGTAGCACTAGTGTCTAAGTTTAGTGTACCGTACTAGTAGGATGCTGCTATCCCTCGAAGCGCCCATAATTCTTCCACGTGCAGGATCCCACGGAGTGTATTGTCTGCTGTGGCACTGGCGACTTCGTCGGCAACAGCTCTGCCTCCATACTCCGTACATTCCAGCCTTCCTTCCTTCTCAAAATGACGCGGTTTAAAGCATACTGGACCGATAGCGAGGAGGAAGATGAAGAAGAAACCAATATCGCGCACGATTCGGACGACTCAACTGGGGACGATCGGCGGGTGGACGAAGAGATTGGCTCAGACTCTGACGCCTCCTCAGAAGATGGTGCATGGCATCCAGACAGGAGGCGAGAGCTGAGCCATGTTACGGAGGATACAGAGTCGGAAGAAGAAGCAGCTCTAGATGGCAGTAGCGACGACGACGACGACAACGCCCCACGGGCACGGCCTTCAGTCCAGTTTGATCCAGCCATTAAGTCACCGCCACCAACTAAACGAAGTGCAGCAGATCCTACCATTATACCATGGGCTCGGGAGCTCGGCGTGGACGCGCAGAAAATGCATGTTATGCAGACATCGCTATTCCGTATGCCCGAGGAGGAGGCGGCATTGAAGGCGCTGTCGCGGCCTGCCACGCGTCGCAAACCTTCGCTGTTCGCGTCACTGAATCGCAAGCACAGTAGAGACTCTGAGGGAGAGGGTTTGCGAGCCGATTCGCGGCAGGTGCGCTACCATTCGGCCAGTCATCAATTCATCGTTCATATTTTACTCGATTTGTGTAGCGGACTTCGTTCGCCCAGGACATCGAACCTGCATCATACCGGCCTTCACGGAAATATGCTCGTGTGGAAGGCTCTGCATCGGCGGTGAGCGGGAAGGAAGATGCGTTTGTAGATGCCGGCCTCGCGTTAGGTCGCTCGTTCCGAGTTAGTTGGGGACCGAGTGGGACGCTTGTCCACCTCGGCGCGCTTTGTGGACCATACAGCTCTTCGTAAGTCGCGTCCTTGCTCATGCGTATTTGTGACTTCACAAATATATAGAGAAACCACCGCAAACAGCTCCATAGTGCAGAAGAGTACAGTTCCACTTGTTGCGGCCCCGATTGGAGAAGCCTCCGAACGTGCCTCGAAGCTTCTTTCGCATCATCTTGGCTCTACGCCTATCGAGTCTGATGCGGAGGGCGTGCCATTTGCAAATCCATCTCGTCAATTGTCCTTCTCATCGTTCGCGGCGCAATTCCCGGCTACCGACCTATCTTTTGAGGCTTGCCTCTTCCGCCTCGGCCGTGCGCTCTTCGACCCGATTGATTTACGATTAGCGGATTCGGCTGGTATGGAAGTCCGACATCGTGCGCACGCATTACGACGAAAGGCGGCTTTGTCCAAATGGCTCGAGACGACCATCGCAAATTCGGTTGAAGCGGACCTGCGCGATAACCCTGGCGGAGACTGGGCAGCCACCGCGTTTACCTTGCTCAGTGGAAATCAAGTAGAGAAGGCTTGTGAGATTGCTATGGACAGTGGCAACGTCAAGCTTGCTTCGCTGATGTCTCAATATCCTGGGGACGACGAGTTCAGAGCAGATTTACAAACGCAACTCTCACTGTGGCGGGAACAACGAATCGACGCACACATCAACCCAAATACTCGGAAAATTTATGCACTACTAGCTGGAATTGTGCATACACTGGAAGGGTCGAAGGGCGCTGCGCCTGAGCAATGTCCTGATGTCATTATTACCAAAGGTTTGGATTGGAAGCGTATTTTTGGGCTACATCTATGGTTTGGCGAGCCGATGGAGTCGACGATAGCGGATGCCTTCGCTTCTTACGATGCGCTATGGAAGAATCTGTCCTCAGGAACTGCTTCTCCTATACCCTGGTACAACGAGCAGTCTGTCAATTCCAACCAGCCTGGTAGCCGTTCATGGGTTTTGCCATCGTCTGCTACCCCCCCGGATGCACTGTATTCGCTTATAAGACTTCATTCCGATCCTACCTGCACCCTCTCCACTATCCTCTCACCACTTTCGTTCAGCGCGTCTCCAGCCGATTTCAGCCTTGCATGGCATATGTATATAATCCTCTCTCGCTGTTTGCGCGTAAGGGATTTGGCGGATCGTGAAGGCCATGCTGCTATAGAGGATGACGCCATCGACAACAGCAATTCAGACGAGCCTAGCGTAGAAGGCCACAGTCCAAGCGCTGACCTTTTGGCGAATAGTTATGCGCTGCAGTTGGAGCAGGCAGGCATGATTCAGGAAGCCGTCTTTGTACTCCTTCACATTGAAGGATCCGCAGGGTACTCATTTTGTCGTCAGTCGGTGTCAGCAAACATTTATGGGTTTTTGCAGGAGAGTCAAGGCAGTCAAAGAACTGTTGACCCGTTGTGCGGGGCGATTAGACGATTGGACTACGAGAGGGCTCGTGGGCAGCTTAAAGCTACCAATGGCCTGGGTGAACGAAGCGAAGGTATGAACAAAATTGCTGATCATTAATCATTGTCTTCTCGCTCATCAATACTTTATAGGCTACGTATGCCCTAGATTGCGGCGATGTTTACGGTGCCTACGAGTTATATCTCACTGCCGGGTTATACAACGCCGCCCATGACTTGGCTGTACGGGAACTCGCACCTGACGCAGTGATACGCCGCGACCTGGATTTATTGAGAGATCTGTTTGACAAATTCAGGCCCCATGTCGTTGACGGATGGCAAGAGCGAGGAAAGGTATGGCTTCAATCATCACGCTTTCTTCTTGCTCCCTCATTATGTTAGGTCTTCCTTGACTACGCCCACATTTTGACGCGCCTTCCGGAGCTGCACGAGCGTATACACAGCGGTACAGCGGATCCAGCGGACACGACGGAGCTGGAGCAGCTCGCCCGCAGCGTACCAAAGATCATAGGAATATTGCCGGATTTATTCAATGACAGATCGGACCCTTGTCATACCGCTGCATTTGCAGAAATGACAAACAAGCTCGCTGTGTGCCTCAACAAAGTAAAACCACTGGTTCTTGTACGTGCTGTCTTTCTTCATATTGCGTATCGCGCGTCTGACTTCATACCGTAGTATCAGTCTCGCATTCGGGCTCCCCAAATGACTGAAGGTATGCGACTACGTAACGTACAGACCGCCGCATTCGAAAGGTTCCTCAAAATGGTCGAAGTGGCATAATGTCGACACATACGCTGTTGGGTTTCGGTATAATCGGATGAGCTGTCTTCACTGGTCCTTCCTGACCGCGACTTACGTGTATGTGCGACGAACTGGACAAAAAGGACATGAGCTGTAAATCTGAGTCTCGAATCGCCCATTGTTGTCCCGCAGTGTGCTAATATTATCGCATTAGTGTGGGTGTTCATTCAGCCACTGAGTGCTGAGATTGAATCGTCTCGCGCTACCTGTTTCATTCTGCTTCTGGCTTTTGGGTTCATACCCCTACTTAAGTGGCGGTTATGTTCGATCTCTGTTCCCGAGATGCCGTCCGCATTTTGGCAATTTTGTGCCAGTCCTACAGCTTCTGGTCTCGTTCTCGGCCTCGACACGGGCGGGCGATGAGATCTCAGCTTCAGGATTTTGTTGTCCGGCTGCTTTTACGATCGGCTGGGCCCATATCAGTACGTGAGTCCTTGCTTGCCAATTATACATAGATCTGCTAAGATGTGATCTCCATTGTCGGCCATAAGGAAACTACTTGCTCCAAATGGGATAACATACCCGCCGATTAATCTCATCGCGCGGGAGATGCGGTTCCTGGCATCGGAGATTATGACGCCTGAAGGTTTGAAACACCCAGAATCGTGTTATAGGGCTCCGCCACATTTCTGGCGTGGACGGTGCTCCGGCGCCCAGAGTCACGATTTTAGCCATAAGGTGGTTGGAATGCTATCCACTTTTAGTTGAAACAGTGTATTTACATGCGCTCGCTCACTGTCCGCCTCTCGTGTCGCTTACTAGCCCACCATCAAACGTTGGACATCGACAGGAGGAGCGAGGAGACAAGTCTATATTACGGATGGCTCAGGTTGTGAGGTGGATCTACACGGTGTAGTTATAGATGTGCAAGCTGAAGTCTACGACATGCAAAGATAGCAGGGGGGACGTGAGAGCGATTGGGATAATTTATGCGGATACTGGGGAAGGTGCTGCCGGAACGGAGAAGGGCGAGTCTCTTTCCAGGGTCGCTGCCGTGTTTGGACTTAGTCAATGCTCTGTCCACAGGTGAATAGAACAGTCGCAACGACCGAGGACTCCAGAAGGCCAAGTTGCATGGCTTCCGGTGTCATCTCGAGGAGTACGGTGTCTTTGCCTCTTGCAATCCGAGCAAGCACTCTTGGCGCCTGGGATTGAAGCTTGTAGAGCTATAGCGAAGGGCAAGTAAGTCGATCGCGCAGCGGTCACCGAATATAAGCGACTCGTACACAGATGAAGCCGTCTATCGGAGACCAAGCATATTGAACGCCTCCAATTGTCATGACCCGTTTGCTGTAATGTTGAGGCTGCAGGTGAGCTGTTCTTCGCAGGGGAATCACACCAGGACGGTCGTACCTCTGATCCGATGACAGGCGAAGCCAGTCGCGAACGCGCTGCTTGGCGGTCATGCCCCGCATCTCAATGGCAGGGTTCGGCTGCCAGGTGACCATGGCCACATTCCTGGATTCATTGTCCTTCCACATCGTTCCCGAGGCCGCCCCGGAGTCGGTCGTGACACGATACACCACCCTGTTCTGGGGGCCGACGACGGTGCAATTGAGAATGGTCGTACGAAAGTCCGTGAACTTGAACTCGATGCTCTCGGACTGCGCTGTCTTTGAGGCCGTAATGGGTGCGGAGGGAAGTGCGCCGAAGATGGAGGGTGCGATGCCTGAGCCTGCGCTCCAGTCTCCTTGCGTGAAGGGGTTCATCTTGGCTACGCGGGCAGGAAATAAGGCAGGAAAAGCTGGGAAGTGTGGCGTCGCGAAAGGTGTCGAAACTGTGCTGGTGAGGCTCCTCAACGGAACCTCTAATATACAGACCATGGATGTACGAGCTGGGATGGTCAATGACGCTCGCGGCGCCAGAGACGTAGAGGACAGAGCCTTCAGAACGTAATCTAGTCCACATGCGCGACATTATGGCACAAGTAGAGGGCGTTGCGCTGTTGAGGTCGGAGGGCTAGTGCGGAGGACTCGGCGAGTGACTCGGGTTTCACAAGACCCAATCGACAATCAGGATCTGTGATGATCGCGTGCGCGGCATCTCCCAATCACCCTTCGAGTTCACTGGGCGGTCAACAACCCGGCATTCACCACACGTGGCATGGACCTTCTCGCGGCGAATGCCCGAGTCTTCCATTTTCTGGACCGCCCGCCACCTGCGACATACCTGCCCCGGAGAACTGAGCGGGCGTTTGCTGATTTCAGGATCCAGCCGCTGGACGCGCAAACTGTATGCTAGAACTGCGCTCAGGAGGATCATGGGAAGATGGAGCTCCTCGGTCTGCAATGGTCATTCGGATGCGACATTCGGACGTGAACAGATGAAACCAAGTCACGTACTTGCGCGCCGGCGTTAGCTTTACCGTGCGCCACGTTTTGTGTATACGGAATCCACAAAACGAAAAGTATCAAAAGCCAGCACGAGTTGTATGGATTCCGATGAGCGAAATTGAGACAGTTGGTATGATTCCTTAACAATCGTCGCCGTGATGAACGTATAAACAGTGGTAACTCGCGGTCCGACTCCACGCGTATGATTGAAGACGAGCGCTGAATATCGCTCGAGACTTCCGCTCACCTGAGGCCGTGTAAGCATTGTTGCCTAAGATGTGGCACCAGTTGAGTGTCATGATGGAGAAATTATGACCAGACTGACCCGCCTGCTAACTTACGGAGATGACAGAGCGGTGCCGCGAAGCAAAGTCATCTTTGATCTCGACCCAGACTGTATGATCTGGGTGCGGCATGCGGCATGCTCGGCCTTCGGGATGTCATCGAGTGTGATGCCGTCAACATGTGGACAAGAATGGATCGCGACCTATTCAGTATCCAGAAAAGTTATGGATACCGTGTACATCAATATTAAAGATGCTGCCGGCGGATGTGGAGAGCGCCGACACCGTGAATATTTACGCGTCTGCATTTTCTCTAGGAGAAAGAATTTTATAAGCAACTCAGGTCTTTACCATACAGCACTCTGGGAAGAGATATCATTCAGAACAAGAAGCAGTGCACATCATTGCTCGCACCGGGTCCAGTAGTGTGAAGCTCATGATATGATACCTATGTAGCGGGTTATGTCAGGTCTGTGATTGTGGATATGTTAAATGTGACCCCCTCACAACTCAGAGGAAGCTTTACTGACATAAAATGGAATTTTCCATCAGGTCCACTACAAGTGGCGTTTGATCGTTCGTAAGAAGATATTCATCAGAGTGATACGATGATAAATGCCCTTGGGACTTCGTTGTAATTAGAACAAGGATGCCCGGATGGGTATATTGGGTGATCACCAATGTGCCAGCAGCGGCGGCTCGTCCGCAAGAATCTTCACTGCTGAGAGGCAGGCTCAGGTCGTGAGCACCAACGCTCGAGACTCATGATTCACCCACCCAGACATGTAGGAAACTCGTCTCCCGCGGTCGGGGCTCTGTAGGTCAGCACTAGGGATGAGCGGGAATCGTCTTCACGCTCAGGAACGAGTGACAAGGCAACAAGTCACCATTGAAAAGCTATACACCGTGGCCACAAGCTAAGGGTGATGAGGTCGACGTTCAGCGGCTGGTATTCAGGTCTAGTACTTACAGGATGGGTGAACAGATATTTCACACCGGGGTGAGGTGTGTACATGCACTGGCACCAGGACAAAGATATTGTTTCATGGAGGTCGGAACCACAATCTTGGAAGCAGTGGTCCACAGTGACCCGCGCCCGCGTCGCTGCAGTGAGGATTTTTGGTGCCTGTGCGAGACGGAAAAAGTACTGAAAGGAGCTGCAGCATATTCGGAGCAGGTGGAGGGCCGAGCAATGGACTCGGGCACTCGGAGCGACGAGATCGCGCTTCCGTCAGTTGTCTGTCTCTGTGTGCGCCGCCGCAGCGCTTGTCCTCTTCTGGGGCAGGCGGGACCGGTGAAGCGGATGCTTCGGACATCAGCGGACCTCTTGCCCCCCTCCAGGCTCCATGCCACATGCCATGTGCCAAGTCCCACAGGGAAATACAACATTGCACAGCAGCAGCACATCACCACATCTTGCTCTACAACAATTCGCTGTGCAGTGTACCATACGACACACGCCTCCAAGAGATTTCTATGCGTGAAGACTATCTTTGAAATGCATCGATATGTTCCAGCAAGGACGTCTGATATGTTGCGGGCATCCGTGCGAACCCCGATGCGGCAGGGTATACAAATTGGACCTCTGGCGGATGGACGCCGATTAGCATTTCTATTTACAAACCATGGCCATGGACATCACAAAATGCGAGAGTGAGCCACAGAATGAAGGCCATGTTCAGTGTGTGTGAGCTAATCATCAGAACAGATCCCAACAATCGTTCCCGTTGCATCGGGCCGCAAAGCCAGTCCCACATATCGCTGAATATTGGCAGTGACACGAACGCTTTCAGTTGAGTCATATGCCAATCCTTTTAACAAGTAAACAATAAAGATGAAATGGGCCCACGATATTTCGCTGCCAGGGAAAAGGTGAGGACTGCTGGCCAGCAGATAAGCTCAAGTCTATACTCACAGTAATACTGATGGGTGTGCTTGGTGGCAGTGCAGACCTACTCCGGTCCACATGAGACAAGATTGATTTTCATGGCAACCTATGCCCAATCTAAGAAGTTCTCCAGATGGACATTAATCCGACGAGCAGTCGTCAAGGTGATACAATTCGCTCATTGAGCAGATGAGCAGATGCATAATTGTCGCATTTGCCTAAGATGTGCTGAGGTCCATCAGGCGTTAAATTTAAAGGTAGAAATTCCAAATCGCAAGCACCTGTCCAAGTACGACTGAATTAAGAATGCAGTAAAATCCTCTCTAGCGCATATAAGTACGTGACTCTAGTGCTCAGGTGGAATCCAGTACTAGTAGCCCACGTCGTCGTCGGTAAACCGCATTGTGACAACATTTCCGATCGTTGTCCAGTGTTTTAATGAGTTTCGGAGCTGAACACGGAAAAGTCATTGCGGAACGCAGAGGAACGACTGTATGCGTTGCTTAAAAGTGATTGAATAGTAGACTGAGCTTGTCCAAACAAAGTCGCCTTCAAGTCGGCAGCGTCCGGAGTGAACGAGCGCTTATGGTAAGGGCTAGAGCCCGCACGCCTGGATATCCTGGCCGCGAGGTTAACGTACGCTGCACTGGTATTTGCCTTTGAACTCTTACTTCCTTTTGGTCGTTTGGAACTCGAACGCTCCTGCTAGCTTTTATCCACCTCTATCGTGTTAGGAAGTTACGCCTGGTATCTCGTCCCAGTTGGCAACGTGCTTAGTACGGATTCCATAAAGGAGCGCATTTTGACAGGTTGTAGCCTTCCTCGTGTCTGTGAGCTTGCGGCAATGAGCACAAACAAGCTAAATGTGGAGGGCGTTATGCTATTCGAACAGCCATTTGCAAGGGTGAGTCAGACGTCTTTCGCTCTTGAGCATCCATTTAGTGCGAATAGGTACCATACGAAAACTACAGAAAGGTTTTCCGTGCCTCGCAAAGAAATATTGAAAAGGAATTTGCGCCGGTACAAACGGCAGCCCATGATTTGGCAAAACGATCTAAGACCGGCCACAGTAGTACCGATGATGCTATCAAGAGCATTGACGGCATGATTACTCGTGTAGAGAATTTGAAGCGGAAGGTCAGTCATGATTCATGTTCGGATCGAGTTGGTCCATTCATATCGTTGGTGTGCAGCTATCCGATCTGCACACTTCTTCTGGAACGCCTACGTTAGGCGTTATGCGAGAACGGCTGCAACACCTTGCGACCGTTGAGGATATGCAGTCAACTAGCAGTCCTGAGTTCGCACGATGGGCGGATATACGTCTGGACCGATGGCTGGTCGATTGGTCCCTCCGTAACAATAAGGTGAAGACAGCGAAGACGATCGCAGCTGAGCGAGGTGTTGAGGTATGTATAACCGAGCCATGATTATTCTTGTAGTAATGTGATACTCACGACAGTATGCAGAGGCTTGTGGACATCGAATTGTTTTCTGACATACGAAGAATAGAAGAGGCTTTGAAGCGCCAAACCTGCACGGAGGCGCTTGCTTGGTGTAGCGAGAACAAAGCTGCCCTTCGTAAAGTCAAGGCATGTTATATCGATATCAGTGTCAAGTACGACGTAAAAATTTTGCTTTTCAGAATACGTTGGAATTCGATCTGCGACTCCAAGAATATATCGAATTAGCCAGAGCACAAAAGCACGTAGAGGCTATTGCATATTCCAAGAAGCATCTTCTGCCATGGCAAGAGACACATCTTCCTCAGATCCGTCAGGCATCCGCCCTACTTTGTTTCCCGCCAACAACCGCCTGTGGTCCGTATAAGGTATATCCTTACACTAGTACAAGACGAGATGTTCGCTCACGAACTTTATAGCGGCTGTATGATCTCGCACGTTGGACTACGCTAGTGCAATCATTTCGTCTCGCTATCTATAACCTCAGCACTCTGCCATCTGAGCCTCTCTTGCATCTCGCCATGTATGCAGGGCTTGCATCTCTCAAGCTCCCCGCATGCTACGATACCCACAGAAAGAATATCGACTGCCCTGTCTGTGACTCAAATCTAGGTCGACTCGCCGAAGAAGTGCCTTTCAGCCATCACGTGAATTCTACCATTGTGTGCCGGATAAGCGGCAAGATCATGGACGAGGACAATATGCCGTTAGTATTTCCAAATGGACAAGTGTACTCGAAAGAGGTACGGAAATGGGCTCCCGGTGGTGTCTAACGGGATCACATCTGATGCTTTTAATCTCCAGGCCCTGGAAGATATGGCAGCGAGGAACGACGGGACTGTTCGATGTCCAAGGACCGGCGAGAAGTGTAACTTCTCGGATCTGCGCAAGGTGTTCATTTCATAACTGTCGCTGGGACAATGTAATGTATAGGTATTCATTCATGTACTACATCCTCAATGATTGCATTTTATGTATTTGTACAACCATCTAGTTAGCCACGGGAACCATCTTTCCTTGTCTGTCTTCTTTTCCAGGAATGAGGGCCGAAGGTCAAACCCAGAGTTACAACTCTATTCAGGACTCCGAGAATGAGTCATCTGTCAATGTCCGTCGAATGTGAGCCGTCGGATAAGCGGTCATTGGCGCTGAGCTATCTCATTGACAGACTCTTATCTCACGTTCCTGCCCAACGCACCACCCGAGTCTGATAGAAAAGTAGAGAAGCAGTGAAATAGAAGATGGGATTATGATGCCTGGAGCAGGGCTCCCTTTAAAAATCGACCGCCCCTACGCTTGCATTTCCACGGCTGTACTCCATGGCCGCTTTGCTTTCACGACGTTGGTGGCTTCAGCAGTTGGAGGTTCGTGATGATGATGACTCACAATTGACTTACATCCAGTCTTTTCTCTCGGTATGCCCATTTCAGTCCAATTTCATCCTCACTTCTGATCGAATGCTCAAGAATGATGACCTCCGCCCTGTTCTCCCTGAAAAGCGTACATGGGCAGCATGGAACTACGTGACTTAGTACGTTTACGATCTATTGCGAAGACTGAAAGCGTCTCACATGACGGATGACACTACTAGCTGGTTAGCTGATAGCTTCAACATCAATACGTGATTCAAAATCGTATAGCTGTATTCGAACACCCCTCATTGATTGTGTAGATGGATGATCGCATCTTCAATGATACAATTGGGACTGTCATGGTGGCAGGCCTGGCTCTGTGTCTGGATCGGTTATGGAGTTGTTACTCCATTCCTTGTCTTGAATGCTCGCCCCGGGGCGGTGCATCACATTACATTCCCTGTCGTCGCTCGGGCAAGCTTTGGACTATGGGGGAGTCTGTGGTGTGTGTTTAACCGCGCTGCCATGGCTTGGTGAGTATCTATTTTGTCTCTAAATTCGCTCGACTTCAGCTTCACTTATATATGACGGTGCTATTAGCATCTGGTACGGTGTTCAAGCCAGCATAGGTGGGACTTGTGTCTTGGTCATGTTACGAGCAATGTGGCCGAGCGTGAACAACATCCGTACGAACTCTATCGCTCATAGAGCGCCTTTGTCTGAGACTATCTACCTACAGCCAACTCGATGCCCGTGTCATCCGGAACCAATACGCGGGACTTTATGTGCTTCTTTCTATTCTGGCTTATCTCTCTGCCAGCAATATGGTTCCCTATACATAAAATGTGAGCGATTTAAATGCTTATGTTTCCAATAGTCGTACTCACAAAGGTGTTCCAGACGGCACTTCTTCACACTCAAGGCTATTGTCGTACCCATTGCTGCGCTAACATTCTTTGTGTGGTGCATCATTAAAGCACATGGTGTGGGCCCCATCGTACGTCAACCAGCACGCATTCATGGCTCGCAAATGAGCTGGGCAATGGTCGTGAGTTTCATGTCCTGTATCAGCAACTCAATCACGCTTGTGACGTACGTCAATCTCCCTCCGTCCAGCTTGTGCTCATACTGCCCTTAAAAGAAATGCACCCGATTTTGCGTCTCGAGCTAGAAGGCCATCTGATGCCGTCCTTCCTCAACTCATTGGAGCACCATTGTGCTATGGGGTCGTGTGCTTCATTGGGATCATTGTCAGTTCCTCATCAGAAGCAATCTACGGTCAGCCCATATGGTCTCCCATTGACTTGCTTGGCATGTTTTTGGACGGCGAGCCCTCGCACGCCACGAGATTTGGAGTGAGCCTCCCGCTTGGTACGCTTTTTCTGCTAACTAGTGCGTCACAGGTGTGGTTCATTGCAGTGGCATTCATCATCGCTCAGGTGAGTGATGATCTTCTCCTACGAATTAGCGCAGATTTAACCAATCAATCTTCGGCGTCTCACCACTGATCTAAAAGCTGGGGTAAGTGCTCGAATCTTACACTCTGAGAGTGATCTCATATATCACGACAAACAGAACAAATATATCTGCGAATACAATCAGCGCTGGTTGTGATCTCACAGCATTATTCCCGCGTTTCATAGTATGATATCCGCAGTACACTACGGGGTCTATGATCTCATTTGTTTGTCAGACCATTCGTCGGGGAGGCTATATCGCTGCCATTGTCGGGTTGTGTATGACACCATGGAACCTCTTAAAGAGTAGCAACAATTTCACGACGTATCTGTCGGCATATTCAGTCTTTCTGAGCTCCATTGCCGGTGTAATGGTGAGGCTTCATCTCACATAGCATACTTATGGTCTTCTCAACCTCAACACAGATAACAGACTACTATTTGGTGCATAAAGGGCACTACTACGTGAAGGACTTATACAGTACTGACAGGTCTGGATGGTATTGGTACACCTACGGAGCAAACTTGAGGTGAGTCGCATATTTATTGTACTGAGCTGCTAATACATATGATGGGAATACCCAAACCATTCAGAGCATATGCCGCATACATTGCAGGAATATCAATAAATGTTGTTGGTTTTGCTGGAGCGAGTGAGTTATCTTTTGTTTGTCACACTGTTACATACTTCATCGCACGCACAGCTGGGCGCACTGTGCCGCTGGCAGCAACTCGCATCTATGAGCTATCGTTCTTTACCGGAATGGGCGTGTCCGGTCTAGTGTACTGGATGTTGAATCAAGCATTCCCCGCGCGTGGTGCTGCTAAATCATTCAAGGAGATAGATTTGTCCGCGGAAACAAATGATATCGAGTCAGACCATGACTTCGATGAGAAAAGTGCTATTGTGGATGTAACAGAGAGTATAGCATCGGCTTCTGTATAATATCCGAGCAATATCAGACACCTAGACGTAGGATTACATTATATGAAACTTCTCGTGTTCCCACACAACAATTTAGATAGCTGCAACTGCAGCTGGTGCAACCTCGTTCTCGTCAATTTCTGATCGCCGCTTGCCCTTCGTGTCTTCTGCATAGTTCTCGTAAAAATTCCGCTCGTCGGTACCTCCGCCATCACCGCTCCGTCCTGGTCCGTCCCAGAAGTGATAGGCTTGACTGAACACGCCGTAGGACGTCGGCACAACCTCTACCAAGTCCCCGCGGGCTACCTCGATGGCCGGAATCTCCGATGCGGGGAGACCGATTAGATATGCGAGAATGCAGCGAATGACTGATGCGTGTCCGATAATAAGCAAATCTTCCTTCTGCCTCTCGAGTTCAATGAGGGTGGGCTCGAGACGGACTGCACAATACAATATCAGCGATATCTCAATCAGTCAATAATGGAATGAAACGCACCACAAAGGTCGTGATAGCTTTCGGCCCGCGGAGCGCGATATGCGTAGGGGTCCTTGACGAAGCGATTCCACTCGTCAGGATAGTACTTTCGTACCTCATCTGGAGTCAACCCGTCCCACACTCCAGGATTGATCTCTGACATCTGGGGACGTTCCATGACCTTGACTTTGGCCGGTGGCGATGGATCATCGGGTCCGGTAGTCAGGAATGGCCATGCCGAATGATGAGATCGACGGCGTGCTGACGTCCATATCTAATCGCGCTGAACATATCAAATATGTAAGACAGGAAAGTACACATACCACTAGCTTGCGAGTGGAAGGATCAATTCCCCGCTGCTCGAACGATTTCGCGCGTCTTTCCAACACAAAATCTTTCAAGCGTTCTGCATACTCCCATCCAGCCGGGGACAGGTCTGAGTCGGCTTTGTACGAGTGCTCAATCAAAGATTGACCCGACTGCGATAGCCAAAAGGTGAATGTTTATTGGTGACTGTTGAAATTAGGAAAATGTAACTGACCCGAGCAAAATAGATCGTTCGGAACCGATTATGAATGTTCATAAGAAAGAAAACAATTCTGGACTGTGACATAACACATGAGAAGCTTATTCAGCCGACTCAAATGTATGCTTACTTGGAGGTATCCACGAATATTCTACGGTCGGCATAATAAACAAGGACGCTACGCGCTTTATACACCACTTACGTTCACCATGATTTGTTCGCCGACCTATATTGCATTTGTTCGATAGGTCCATGAATAACGAGGAAAAGACCTACATTCTTGATCCGAATGAAAGGAAAATCAGTTTCTTCAACAGGCTCGTAGTGAACTTCGTGGTCGCGGATGCGCCTGTAGTAATCTTCTACCGCCTTGTTGGGATCCCATGAACGATACTGCTGCCAACGTCAAGGTCGAGTTCCAACATCATGCAAGCTGCGTACATCTGGTGACGAAATTTTGACACTTCGGATATTCGCGAGGATAATATCCTCATCATCGCACAGAGACTCTAGTATAAGCTCAGCATAAAGAGGGCTCACGATGACACTATAGCCAACCTAGTATGATCACATGGATCCCAGCAGCGCTGAACCTCTCGGCTATGTCTTGTCGGCGTTCCCTGGTTCCATTGTTTGCATCGTAGATGACCACTTGACCTTGAGCGTTGAAGAAATCCCAAATCAATTGTTCGCATCCATCGGAAACCTTTTGACGCAGGGCCACAGTTTCAGGGCTTTTGTCTCCTGCTCACCCATCAGTTCATAATCTCGATTGGATGGGTATCAAAGTTATTACCCAAGGTGAAGTAGTCCGAAGGAAGGTTTTGGGCACTCCCGATAACTTTGCGACGATAATCTCCTAGCGATACCACTTGAGTTTTCACACCAGTCCAGCGGAGGTAGCGCTCTAGGGCTCTTGAAATGTGAGTCTTTCCTCGAGCAGGCAGTCCAACGGTCAGTACAAGGATCTTTCCAGCATGGAACAGAAGCCCAGACGCGGTTGTGTAGAGAGGTGCAACCATCTTGAACTACCGTAGTCATCCGAGCAGCCTGAAGCCGACCCTCCGGCTAACCGTCGGCTGATAGTAGATCTTATCTTATCAGCTGGAGGCGTTCACTTACTACTGAGAGTCGCGATGAAGACGTTCAAGTAGGAGTAAAACTCCAAGAAAACTATCAATTGGAGGATTCTTTTTGCACTCGCAGAAACTCCCCGAGATCCCGAGGAGTCTCAGTGAGCACAGGCGCAGGCGCAGACGAACAAGCGTCGAAACACCTATGTACCCCTTCCATTTACTTCAAGGCTTGAACTATTAGTCAGCGTACTTATGACTCTAGCGACAAGACAGCGAGCTGCAAGAGGTATTGAATTAGAATACGCACAGAGTACTTCATAAGGTGCAGTCAAATAGTCTACACATACACACCAAAACAAAATCACAACTACGTCCAATAGCTAGTATAAACAAATCAGATATCCGCGCTTGCCCGATAGTCTTCCATCTCCTGGTCCAGCTCAGCGGCAGACACTGCTTTCTTCTTTATGCGTTTAGGTCCCTTCTTTTGGCGTAACCGTGCTTTCGCAGTGATAACTAGCGGACGGGGCGTTGGTGCTTGCACCTTTACAGGCTGCTGCTTCCGTGGTTGGCTAGGAGGGAACGCAGGCTTAGGATGGATAGGGTGAGCTTGAGGATGTACTTACGCCACAGGTATAGGTTTAGGGGTCGCCACGGGTCGTGTAGGCGCAGGCGCTGCTGGTGCTGTTGTTACAGGTTTTCCAATTCGATCAAGAAGGGAGAGAGGCTTTGGTGGTGCTTGCGACGCTTCTTCATCGTCGTGGATGATTTCGATTTTGATGGGCCGACCTGGGAGTGCAGCGAACAGTCCACGAATGTGTCCCCTACATCTAGTATGAGAGACTTACGACCATCCACGATCTTCCCATTATACTTCGCCCGTGCGACGACAGCGTCTGATGCACGCTGGAAAGAGACGATAGCCATGCCCTTCGACTTTCCCTGGGAGTTATACACGATAAACGCGTCTTTCACTGGTCCTACAGTCTTGGCGAACAGGATCTAAGTTTAGGGTCAGCCTCGCTAGTCATGCGATGCAGTATCGCTTGAAACGCGTCTATACCTCAACCTCATTCTCCCCTACATCTAGAGGCAGTTTGCTAAGCAAAATCTTGCTTCCCTTGTCCAACGCGTTGGCAGCACCATGGGTTTTCTTCCCCTGTACAGCATCACGCCAGGCGGGAGGGGCATTCCCAGCCTGGTTGCCCAGAAGATGTCGTTTTGCGCCGTGATATGCATTCAAACGTGCGTATTGAGGGTGGGCCTGCATCAAGGGAATGTGGTATAAGGTAGAGGTTAGAACTTAACTTGCTATGACCTACTTCGAATTCCAAGGCAAGAGTTTCTGAGTTACGTAATAGTTTTGGAAATTATTATTTGCATTTGCTTTGAAGGCAGCTAAGCAGGCAGGTTGTAGACTGTCCCAGATAAATAAGCACTTGTACAGTCGTATCTGTTCAGAATGCACTGCGACTTGCGGTTTCGATTACATCCTCTACGAGGCTGAGCATTGCACTCGGGTGAAGCATACAGTACCCTTCCATGCACATATTGAACATTTCTAGATTGACGACTTTCGAAGTAACCTCATTAGTCAGTTTGCTTTCTTGCTATACGTCTCTTTTTCAGTTTTTTTTTCCCGCCGAGAAGACCAGAAGGTGATCAGGGAGAAATGAAGTTGCCCGCATTGCATTTCTGACTCCGAAGATCCCATTCTTCTCTCAGACTACTACTTACTATGTACCCGGTCCACCCACTCTTTTTCTCGCCTCTAGCGCGCGGCCCGGCTGCCGTGGTCACCAGTGGTTTCTAGACCTCGTTAAACTGAACCCATGGCACTCGCCGGTCATATTATGTACTGGAACCCGAAGGATGAGTCTCTGAAACCTCTCGTAATGCAAATTTACCGGACGTTTATAAGCATTGGGTTCAGTTGTCGAGGATGTCTCCTCGACGCCCTCTCAACGCTCGACGCGATGTCGCTGCTCAACCCTTCGTCTGGCATACTTCCTGCGATGACCGCTGATAACTCTGTCAGTGATGCTGAGAGGCGCGCTGAGATATTGCGTACCCTGCAAGACGAACGCTCTCTCGACAAATCGAGTCTTTACCACCTGGATTCTGCTGTCGATCTCGATACGGCAGCCTCAGCTTCTTCTTTTGACTTGCCTTCCGTCTTGAAGGGCAACGAGCGGATGCGCCGTCGGTCCGAACTTTCGCGTGTGAAGGCTCCCGCGGTTGAGACCATCGAGCTTGCCCCTCTTCCGCCGATTGAGGAACGAGCGCACGAACAAGCTAGCGTCGGTCATGCCACAGGTATATCTGGTGAGCCGTCGCTGGGCAAAGTAGCGGGAGGAGATCCCGAGTTAGCACCACCATTATCATATGTGCCATCCACAATTACGGAGGATACAAGTTCTGCTGTGGGTGTGATCTCGCATGCGCAACGAGCCAAGTATCGCTTGAACAGCCGGATCCAATTCGCGGCGTTGTGCTATTGCTTTTTCTTGGAAGGCTGGAATGACGGTTCTACTGGTCCATTATTGCCCCGTATTCAGCGGAACTATGGTGTGAGTACGAATACTCGAAAAATCTCGGTAATACTCATCTATGTCAATTGCGCACATAGATTGGGTTCGCGATCGTGTCGCTGCTTTTCGTCACCAACTGCATTGTACGAGCCCGTTGCCAAAGCGCATAGAGTTGGATTAATTTAGTTTGCAGGGTTTTTTAAGTGGTGCGATGATGAATGTGTACTTGAATCACAAATTTGGTTTCGGTAAAGTACGCTGCTTGTCAGTTTCATCAAAGTGAATGGTACTGAGACGCTTGAATAGGTCTTAGTTATAGGTATGACATTGTTCACACCGCTATAATCCCCATGGACTAACCTAGATGCAGGATCAATTTTTCAGCTGGCTGCCTACGTGCTCTTGGCACCTGGAGGACCTTTCCCAATCATGTGTGTTGCATTTTCGTTTGCAGGGTTCGGCATAGCACTGCAGAATGCCCAAGCAAATGGGTTCGTCGGAAGTTTGAAGGAGCATGCACGAACTAAGTTTGGCTTCTTACACGCATCATATGGTAAGTTTCCGCTGCTCATATATAGGAATAGTTCATGGCTAGAAACAAAGTTCGTAACATAGGCCTTGGAGCTCTGGTTGCGCCACTGGTAGCGACGTATTTTTCCACTGCGCGACATTGGTCATTTCACTATTTGATCTCTGCGTGTATCGCTGTGAGCAATACAATAGTTCTCTCTGCTGTTTTCCGCTTCAAAACACAGGACGGTAAGTCAACCGGTTGTCTCAATTTTAATCAAACCTTCGGTCTTACTGTCGTGCAGATGTCATGGCCGAGGCGGGTCAGGCAGCGGAAGAGCCTGTCACAAGCGATAACTTGTATCATCAAATCATGCGCCTCAAGGAGGTACATTACTTGGCAATCTTTTCGCTTATATATGTTGGAGTAGAAGTCTCCATCGGGGGTATGGTTATTATAGTCAAGCCACGGCTCAATAAACTGATTGACCTCTATCAGGATGGATTGTAACTTTCATTGAGCAAGAGCGAGGCGGAGGTGCTAGTGCTGGATACATTTCCTCCGGATTTTTTGGTGGTACGCTTGGTTCTATTTACTTATTCTAGTTAACATCTAAATGTATTTTCGTTCAGGGTTGATGTTAGGTCGCATCATATTGATGTGGCTAAATCGCAAGGTACGCGGAACAACGATATGCTCTCAACACCGTCGCGATGTTTTCTTTGCAGATAGGAGAACGCTGGGTCATTGTTCTCTATGCCCTCATCGTCATCGGGTATATATTTTCTCAGACTCAAAGCGCTGCGATGGGCTGACAGTCTGTCTCCCAGTTTGGAAGTGACCGTGTGGGTTGTGCCGTCGCTCTTTGAGAACGCCATCGCCGTGTCCTTCATCGGATTGCTAATGGGACCCATGTACCCAATACTTATGAACCACTCGACCTACATCCTGCCTAAGTGGTTGCTGACGGGCTGTCTGGGCTACATCGCTGGTGTTGGCCAGGCAGGCTCGGCCGTCTTACCATTTATCACAGGTCTCTTGTCGTCCAAGTTTGGGATTGCGTCTTTGCAGCCTTTGTGCGTCGTCTCTATATTATTGTTTTGGGAGTATCGTTCACGGAGCTGAATTTATGTTTGCAGTATTGTGTCGATGATGTCGACTATGATTGTTCTATGGGCTCTGGTTCCGAAGAAGCGTCGGATCGAATAAAGTGTTGACGGTCACACACTGTTCACGTTCAGGGATTTATGTCTGTGTCGAAAGTAGAATCTAGGTGTACATGAGATGTCCCTGGTGAGTTCCAGGGATTTTTTAGATGGGCTGGTTGAGTGCCCTGACAGCCGAAATTTGGTTGGCCACTTGGATCCGTTAGCGTGGGAGTCAGATGAGAGTCCGATCCATTCAGGGTGCAAATACTCTTCACGCACTCCCGTGAAAGTTGGTACGAAACTCCCCCTTAAAGTCCCGTACGTGATCGAATGACTCTAGCGTCATCTACCCGCTCCTCTGAGAAGCCAGCCCTCTTGTAAATTCGAGGATCAGTGGGGTCCCAAACGTGTGCGCCATCGAAGCCCGACCCCTCTGCACGAATACAAAAAGCTGATAAGGTGCGAGTGGGTCCTAAGCAGATGGCAAAGGAAGGCTATCCACAACCTTGCACAGTTACAGTCATCCCAGTACCATTTTTATGTTCATCATTCGCAAATGAGAATACCGACCTCGCGGAACATATAGACAGCCACCAGGATGATCGTCTGGTAAGTGCTATGTTGTAGATACATTCAAGACGGACTATTAATACTATACAAGTTTCTTTTCTATACGCTACTTACTTACGCTCTATTATTTTCCTTATACGGCAACTCTGCTGCAAGACGCCAGCGCGTCGATTTCCCTCAGTCCCCGATTACCATATCCCGGACTGAGTCTCTCTCTATTATAGACTTCCATTATGCCAGTCCCCGTAGGTGATGGTCAGCCTCCTGGGTGGGACACCAGGTAACCTGTAGTAATGCAATTGAGCATCTGAGAGATGTGCTTGGGATGCCACAACAGTGCCTGCTTGGTGTCTACCCTTCCGTAAGTCAATTATCATTAGCTAGGAGTGACCAAAAAGCTAATGATCCATACAATCAGGAGAATGTCTGCTCCTTTTGGACGTGCTACGGAGACATGGCTACCGCAACGTCATGAACATCATCCAGGCGCGAAACTTCGGTAGTTCTGGAGATCACGAAGGTCATATGGAAGCATGGCGACAAGACGAAGGTGCACGAATGGCTCGTGCAGCGGTCGGGGTTAACTATCTTCCTCAGTACCGCGAGCGTTTCATGTACGGGCCACCCATCTCTGCGCCTCGGGATGAAACGATGAGCGTTGCTTCGATAGAGGACAGCTATCGAAGCACCCCTTATCATTTCATCCTGGCTTCACCATGTCAAATGCGCCAGGGCTGTCAGATGTCTCCGAATGAGCAGTGTAAATGCCGTTCCACGATCACAATCCTCTCAGCATGTAGAACCAGCACATTCCACCAATTCTCATCAATATAAAGCAAATGCAATCAACGACACCCCGCCGCACAACAGTGTCATGAATCCCAGGGCACTGACGGTTCTCTTATGTGTTCCTACTGTTCATTTGTCTTACTTCCTCTTACCGTCATCATGCACATTGGTCACACTCAGTCTCGTATGTATTCTCACTGCTGTTGCGTTCTCTTGTTGTTGTCTTGTGTGTACTCTCGCTAGTGCACCCTCTTCATTACCTAACTCCCTTGTCATTCAAGCTATCTCACTCTCTTACTATCATCATCTTGCTACACACGCGCGGCGATTGCGCCCTCAAATGCTAGTAATTAGTACTTTCATGATCAACTTTTGAGTGCGTGTGTAAACAGGGATGCGCTTGTCGGGCCAGTATACTGATTGATACTGTTATATACTCCGAGGAAACTGCGCGAGATGTTCCATACATGAAGTTGGGTAGCTCGAAAGATGCTACAATACATCACAAAGGTGACATACAGATGCTCTTAAGATATCGTGTGGAAGGTATTCATGAACACCCGAACAAGGATGGCATTAACGCCCACAAGTCTCCTGTGTAGATACTTCCTTTGAATTCAACCTTCGCTCTTGCCTGCAGGCTGCGGACAACATCCATCGAGATGCACCCCATTCCCACGCCAGTGAAATCTACCTGGCCAGTCTGTGGGCTGCCGGGGAATAATGTCAAGGGCAGTGGAGCCGGAGTGTAAGACACGAAGATAGAGCTAATAGTAAGGCCCTATGCCAGGCACGAGGGAGTAGTGTAGGGTACTGAGCGACGACGCATTCGACGACGGAGGCGACGCGCGAGATCTACTCGCTCAATCGGACGTTTTGGCGAGTCGTCGACGCCCTCCTGAACGCCCGGTGCGATGTATCCTTTGCCTGGCACAACCCCTGCGATAACTGTCGACAACTCTGTCAGTGATGCTGAGAGGCGCGCCGAGATCTTACATATCTTACAAGACGAACATTCTCTAGACAAACCAAGTCTTTACCACCTAGATTCTGCTCTTGATGTTGATACAGCAGCCTCAGCTTCGTCTCTGGACTTGCCCCCCGTCCTAGTGGGCGACGAGCGAATGCGCCGTCGTTCGGAACTTTCGCGTATGAAGGCTCCTGTGGTTGAGGCCATCGAACTTGCCCCTCTTCCGTCGATTGAGGAACAAGCACATGAACAGTCAAGCATTGACCGCGCGACGGATATATCAGGTGAGCCGCAGGGCAAGATATCAGGAGAAGACCTCGAATTAGCACCACCATTGTCATATGTGCCGTCAATGATCAAGGAAGACGCAAGTTCTGCTGGTGTGCTCTCGCCTGCGCAGCGAGCTAAACATCGCTTGATTGGCTGGATCCAATTCGCGGCGCTGTGCTATTTCTTTTTCCTGGAAGGCTGGAATGATGGCTCTACCGGTCCCTTGCTGCCTCGGATCCAGCGGAACTATGGTGTGAGCACCGCTAACTTGCGATATCTCGGTGATGCTCATCTATGTCGATTCTGCACATAGATTGGGTTCGCGATAGTGTCACTGCTTTTCGTCACCAACTGCATTGTACGAGCCCGCTCTTAAAAAGCATATAGTTGTATTCATTTAATTTGCAGGGTTTTTTGACTGGTGCGATGATGAATGTATACTTGAATCACAGATTTGGTTTCGGTAAAGTACGCTACCTGTAGGTAATCTCCGAAGACACAACACTGATGCTCTTGAATAGGTTCTGGTTATTGGTATGTCATCGCTCGCACAACCAGGATTAATATGGACTCACTCGGATGCAGGATCTGTTTTTCAACTGGCTGCCTACGTGCTCATAGCACCTGGAGGACCCTTCCCAATCATGTGTGTGGCATTTTCGTTTTCAGGATTCGGCATAGCACTACAGAATGCCCAAGCAAATGGGTTCGTTGGAAGCTTGAAGGAGCATGCGCAAATTAAATTCGGCGTCATGTACGCGTCGTATGGTAAGCCTTCGCTGGTCATGTATATAGGTGGTACGTGGCTAGAAACGACGTTTGTAACATAGGTCTTGGAGCTCTGGTTGCGCCACTAGTGGCGACGTATTTTTCCACTGCGCGACACTGGTCATTCCACTATTTGATCTCTGCGTGTATCGCTTTGAGCAATATGATAATTCTCTCTGCCGTTTTTCGCTTCAAAACCCAGAGTGGTACGTCAACCTGTTACCTTAATACAAGACCTCTGGTCTTACTGTCACCGTGGAGATGCCATGGCTGAGGCGGGTCAGGCAACGGAAGAGCCTGTTACAAGTGGTAACTTGTATCGTCAAATCATGCGTCTCAAAGAGGTACATTACCTAGCAACGTTTTCATTGATATACGTTGGAGTAGAGGTCTCCATTGGAGGTACTATTATTGTACTCGAGCTATTATGGCCCTACAAGCGTGTTAACTTCTATCAGGATGGATTGTGACTTTCATTGAGCAAGAGCGAGGCGGGGGTGCTAGTGCTGGATACATTTCCTCCGGATTTTTTGGTGGTACGTTTTGTTCTATTTTCTTGTTCCGGCCAGCAGCTAAATGCACCTTCATTCAGGAATGATGTTAGGTCGCATCATATTGATGTGGCCAAATCGCAAGGTATGGAGAACGCACGACGTCATACTCAACATCGTCCCTAATTTACACCGTCAGATAGGAGAACGCTGGGTCATTGTTCTCTACGCTCTCATCGTCGTCGGGTATATATTTTCTCAGACTCATAACCTGTAATAGACTAACGGTCTCCCAGTCTGGAAGTCACTGTGTGGGTTGTGCCGTCGCTTCTTGAGAACGCCATCGCTGTATCCTTCATCGGGTTGCTAATGGGGCCTATGTACCCAATACTCATGCGTCACTCCACCTCGATCCTGCCCAACTGGCTGCTGACGGGCTCTATCGGGTACATCGCTGGCGTCGGCCAGGCAGGCTCGGCCGTCTTACCATTTATCACGGGTGTCCTGTCGTCCAAGTTTGGGATTGCGTCTTTGCAGCCTTTGTGCGTCGTCTCTATATTATTGTTTTGGGAGTATCGTTCACGGAGCTGAATTTATGTTTGCAGTATTGTGTCGATGATGTCGACTATGATTGTTCTATGGGCTCTGGTTCCGAAGAAGCGTCGGATCGAATAAAGTGTTGAGTCACACGTTGCACGTTTAGGGATTTTATGTCTCTGTCGCGAAAAAGTAGAGTCTAGCTTTACACTGGGTGGGCCTGGTGAGTTTCAGGGGTTGCACCGTCATTCGTCCGATGTCGTTGGTTCCGTAATTCCTTTACAGCGGTAGTGCTATCTCTATAGACTAGAATCATGTTTCTCGTTCGCTTCAACATTTTTGCCGATGTCTCAAATCACGGAAAAGGAGGGCGTCATCGTGGGCGAAAGCGTCTCTGCACGCGGTGAACCCGGCTTATCTTGTTCAGTGTTACATCGTCGCAGTTTACTGTACAATGCGGAGCCAAAAGTGTGTGCAAGTGATGAAACTGACGGGCGTGTTCGCTATTCATGCATCATCGTTCGTGTTTAGAATCATCTTTTTAGTACTAAATATTTGGGATTTTGGAGGACATGCGCTTCTGCCTTTTGTTTCCCTTGTCTATCTTGCTACTATGCTTGCGCCGTACTTTTGTGGATCCACACTATTCGTAGGCCTGTGACCAGTCAACATCCATTTTTCATGTACCTCGTCGAAATCTGAACCTGGCGTATCTAACAGTCTAACATGTCTGCAGCGTGATAAGCTCCACGATGCCGGCATCCCATCCATTCATGCTTCGAAGAGTCCCACAGCATGTCCCAGAGATGCTGGGCATTCTCAGGGCGTGACACGCCTTATCTGTACGTCAGCCAGCTCTAGTGAAATCTGATGTCGCATTCTTCGAGTTCGGGATCCTAAGTAGCGGTGCATATGAACGTCCTGGACCTGCCCCGCGCATGACCACAGTATTCACCCTTATCCTGACAACTCTTCCATCCGTCTCGCCGTTGATCCCTGAGCATTGCATTGCACTGACGACAGCATGAAGGATAATAAAGACGGATCCGTTCGCTCGAGCATCGACGACGCTGATCGTGTGCGGGCGAGGAAGACAAAGGATGCAACGATGGGCGCGGACGATGTGCGGCTCGCCGAGCTGGGATATAAGAGCGAGTTCCAGCGGGAGTTCTCGGTATGTTGCGCTTCTCGTTATCCAGAAACAAACAAACGAGCCGATGACGCCCCCCGCGCCCAGGTTCTCGAAACGATTGCGTTTTCGTTCTCGATCATGGCCGTCATACCGGGCGTCTCTTCAACGCTCGGGCTCGCGCTGGCCTCCGGTGAGAGAGGTGGACGCTTTGTCGCTGCTACTGCTGACTCTCGTGCCAGGCGGACACGTCGGTATGGTGTGGGGGTGGTTCATCCCCTGCTTTTTCGTAATGTGCATCGCAGCGTCCATGGCAGAGATGGCGTCGTCCATGCCGCAAGTACACTGCGTCCTTCAGCCGCTGTCTGCCGTAATGATGGCCATCACACAGGACTAGCGCGGGGTTGTACTATTTCTCGGCCAAACTCGCGCCCGTGAAGTATTCGGCACTGGCAAGCTGGATAACAGGCTGGGCGAACATCACGGGCCAGGTGACGCTGGTCTGTTCCATCGATTATACAGTGTGAGCATGCATTGTCCTGGCGATAGTTTTGTGACTACTTACAAGGGTCAGAGCGCAGATGATCACGACGGCTGTGGCCGTCGGAACAGATGGTACCGTTAATTTAGGTACAGGGCCTACCTATGGAATATTGCTTGCAATCCTGTTCATCCATGGGGTGATATGTTCGGCCGGTACGAAGATACTGGCGCGTCTGAACTTGTTCTACGCTTTCGTGACCTGTAGGCCTGATTGCATCGCACTTCTGGCTTCAAACCCGCTGATCGAAACATAGTGGGAACAACTGTCGGCGCAATCATTGCATTGTTCGTATGCTCCGGCGAAAACAGAGTGTCAGCGAAGGATGCATTTACGCTGTACGAGAACCACACCGGCTGGTCCAACAGTTCGTCCACATGCGCCTCCTTTGCCTCTCCGCTGACCTAGTCTGCTCCCTAGGCGGCTGGGCCTTTTTGTTGTGCTTCACTGTTCCGATGTGGCAATTCACTGGGTGTGAGTGAATTAACGCGCAGTGTGATGCTCTCTACTCACGCACCTCTAGACGACTCTGCAGCGCATATCTCCGAGGAAATCCGCGGGGCGGCGAAGGCAGCCCCACTGGCCATCCTCGTGTCGGTGGCATCGGTTGCGATCCTGGGCTGGATTCTTTCCATCTCCGCGTCGTTCGCCACCGCATCGGTGGCCGACCTCCTCGCGACTGACCTCGCCCTGCCGATGGGCCAGCTCTACCTCGACGTTGTCGGCAAGAGAGGCATGCTCGCCATCTGGTCCCTCACCACCACTGTCCAGGCAAGTGGATACGCTGTTTTGAGGCCGGCACATGGACGCTCACCGGCCCGACACAGTTCCTCTGCGGCGCGGCACAGGGTGTCGATGCCTCTCGCGTGGTGTTCGCCTTTGCGAGGGATAACGAGCTCCCCGGCTCGCGCTGGTGGAAGAAGGTCAATAGCTACACGCAGACGCCTGTCAACGCCGTGTGGCTCGTTATGGTCCTCGCTGCAGTCTGTGGGCTCCTCGGGTTTTCGTCTACGGCATTGACTTCGCTTGTCAGGTGTGTCCCCACTACAGAACTCCCTGTTCTGACAACTCTAACGGCTGGAATATTGGTATCTGAAGTGCATCGGTAATAGGCATGTACGCCTCGTATACGACCCCCATTTTTCTCCGTGTCACGTCCGGAAGGGACAAGCTCGTGCCAGGTCCGTTCTCGCTAGGGAAGTGGTACTTACCGATAGGATGTGCTGCAGTGGCGTGGGTGACGTTTATCATCGTCTTGCTGAGTTTCCCAACTGTACAGATCGCCACCGCAGAAACCATGAGTACGTCACTATTCTCTCAGGGCAACAATGAAACCTCACCATACTGCACTGTCAGATTATGCTGTCGTGATTATCATGGCGGTCTTCATATTTGCATCCTGTTCATGGATCATATCTGCGAGACGATGGTTTGTGGGCCCACTTCCGAACATTGATGATGGAAGCACTGTAGCATCCCTAGACGAAAAATAACTGTATTTTGGAGGCTTTGCTGTAATACATGATCGCTTGAGTTGTGCCCTCGGACTGCATCCGATAGCGTACACGCAACATCCATACACCACTGGTGAGGCATAACTTACAACTAGTCATGATATGTAAAACCTCCTCCCCATTCCTCATTGTGTCTTCTGATGGGCCAGTCGAGCGATACCAACGGTAAGTTGCCACCAGATTGCAAATGAGAAGCCAACGATTCCATGCCCCGTCCCCCAGACTAATTCGGGAGTAATCTTGTACCTGTCACACAAGTCAGCATCACGACAGGTATATGCAAGGAACAAGACTCACGATTCAGCGAGAGGTCCGAGTGTGTGCGGGATAAAACGGGGGGCATTATACAGGATGGTGGAACAGGTGACGTGGTAGAAGCAAAGAGCCAGTCCGAGAGCACGCTTGCCGGGCAAAAACTCTACACACAAACTATGAGGGGATATCCGCGGCCAGGAGAAGTCTGGACTTACCAGGTAGCGGGAACATGAGCAGTGCGGCGATACAGAGTCCTGCTACCAAAGCGGAATACATCTGCATAAATCCCGAATGCTCAGCACGTCCATAGCATTGCACAGCATACGGTGCTCACCTTGATGAATATGAGCGTCGTGTTCGTCAGCTGTAGGAATGGCAAGCTGACGGGCGACCAGAGTCCCTGTAGCGCTATTGGGACCTCCAGTGCGATGTGCAGCAGAAACACTACAGCACTGGTGAACCTAAGATGTCAGAGCATTGCGGAGCGCGTTAATTGAGCGAAATCCTTACAGGGGGTGGCGGACAGCGATTTGGGGCGGGGCGGACATGGCGGTGAGGTGTCTCGAGGGCGTGGTCAACGACGAGGAAGACAAAAGGCACTTATCGGCGGGAGGACACGTCGGTGGCTGGAGCACGTGCACGCGTCCCTTATCGCAGCCGACTCAGGGACAACAGTAGATTGACGATGAGATCACGCCCATCGAGATTGTGCGCACGCACTGGAGACCTCTATTCTCGAAAAACCATCTACCTCTAGCTACATGTTTACTAAAACTACAGCATATTGCGACCACGGAAATTCGCATATCAGACATATTATTCGCTTCATAGATCAAGCCCAGAGAACCGCTACGTTCACCCCAACAATTCGTTTGTTTAACACCCCTCTTCGTCTCCCTCGTCTCCCTCGACAGACGCAACGCCAGAAAAGTTTCCCTGCCCGCGGGCCAGAAGCCCACCGGCAGCAAACTCGACCGCGTCCAGGTCCTTTTCCAGGTCCACCTCCTCGCCCACTTGCGCGGCCTCAGGGCTGACCAGCAGCCGCAAGCGCGCCACCTCTCTGCGGAGGCGCTCCATCTCCTCGTCCCTACGGTCCACGCGGCCTTTTAGTAGCTTGATATAGTCGTTTCCGCACCGGAGCAGCTGCAACTTGCTCACGCCCCTGTTCGGACCCTCTGCATGGCCCTTTGGTGGCCCACGCGGGGGCATTGCGCCAGGCAGGATCGGCTCGTCAGGGTAGCCGTCGTCTGATGGCAGCGGAATTGGGGGCAGCAGCAGCCGCAGGTCATCGAACGACGTTTTGAGCGAGTCCCGCCGCTTCTGTTCCGCCGCCTTGTGCGACGACTTGCGCACCTGCATCCCAGGCTCCGCGAATGTCGTCGGCGACGGCGCGGCCGGCTGTAGCAGTGGTGTATTCCCAGCTATATTTGCGCCACAAGTCAGCAGATAAAGAGAGGACTTAGAGTGGGCTCTCACCTGGTCGGATCGGCTTTAGACTTGGACTCACTAGGGAAACCGCGGAGCCCTTCTCAGCCGACCTGGGGGTCTTGGAATACTCTCCAGATGACTCAATAGATTTCCTCTTCACAGAACCATCAACCTTCTTGGAGCCGCTGGGAATCGGATTTTGCGGCACTGAACTGTGGATGCCTAATCTGCCCAAATTCATAATGCTTGCTGGAGTCACTGGCGTCATGTTTGGCACCGGCGCCGGCGCATTGCCGACGGGTACAGCGGCAACAGAGGCCGAGCCAGGATGGTGAGAAACCGGCGAAAGCGACTGTGTTTGGATGCTGGAGGGAATCTGTGCCGGCGGGGGCATTGGGGGCAGCTCGATGGGCGACGGCGTGTCATTTGGCACGTCTGCAGCGTTCGCTCCCCCGCCAGATCCTCCCGATCGGGTCAATGTCGCTGGGAACTGCGGCGTCGAGTTCGCAGACCGCGTACCCCGTGTGCCTGCCTTCTTCGGGACCGCAGGCGCCCTGGAGACCGTTTTAACAGCTGATGATGGACGTTTGCGCACAGGTTTTCCCGACGGAGCATTCGATTCATCACCACTAGACGACGTCATGCGCCGCTTGTTCCCTGCGCTAGGATGTGGTTGTTGGCGCGTACTGGGACCCGACGCGTGCTGCGACTTGGAATATGGTTCCAGCCACGGGCTAGTGAGTGGCGAAAAATCACTGAAGTCTAGGTCACCCGCGGTGTGGAGTGGGAGGGAAGGATTGATCTGGAAAGCTATATTTGCAGGAGCCGAATGTGAGGCATTTGGGCCCGCAGGGAAGTCAGGTAAGCCATGATTTGGGGGCATAGAGTGCATATTCGACAATGCCGCGTTTGACTGTAGAATCATCGGAGATACGAAATCCGGGCTAGGTTGCGCACGAAGTTCTGTAGACTGAGCTGGAAAATAGAAGAAACGCAATTAAGTAGCAAATTCCACTCAGTGCAGATTTACGAACCTGGAGTTGGGAGACCGAATTGCTGCTGATCCCTTTGTCGATCCCCAGGCACTGCTGGGGGGAACAGCGTATTCTGCCCGCTAAGAAGCTCCAACTAATCAGAGTCAGACATCAGCGTTGCATTAATTCGCAGGTGCGGGGTCAATAAAAACGCGACCGTAAGAGCAAGAAGTAATCACGATCAAGGAGACATGAATACAGCGTCTAGTGCGGTTATGAAAGACACGCCTCGACGACCAATCTGGACCAGTTACGTTCAAGTATAATCGACCAAAGAAGAATTGGCGGGTGACAAAAGTAAGGGCGTCAGAATTGCAAGACTGGAGGCTTGTGCCAGGACTAGGACGAAAAATCGGCCAAGGCAGCCGTCTGCTTGGCACAAGGCGGCAAGACAACCAAACTCTAAATAAGTGGCCAATAAAAGCCATAACCCAGTGGTATCCGGAACATGGAGATTATCATAATCTCGCAGCGGGTACTCGTGTCGTAATCTCGGAGCCATGAATCCACTGTGGCCGATTGCGCGCTCTAGAACTGAGATTACAGTACATTTCGAACCAGCTGGCGCTGAGAACTAGCGGGCGGGATCAGCTGGTTGCCGTATCAAGCTGGATACGGACCCGCAGGGCGACTGCGTATCAATCAGCGCCAAAAAAAAACCAATCAGTCATAGTCAGGAGCACCACCTGTTCACAGGACATATTTCTCACTGCGAGCATCTCTCACAAGGTCCACCCTGCTTCCCCGTACTATTCATCCACCGTTCCTGGAGGTCTGCAATGGACGCACCTCCATCTGCTCTTGTGATAGGTGCTCGCAGCTACTGGCGTCCAGCGTCCATCGCACTCTTCCCTGACCTTCCATCGCGAAGATGCTCCGCCCAAGCAACTCCCAGAAGATAAAAACGGCTGTGCATAGCTGAAGAGAATTGTGGTATCATACTCACCTGCTGCTGGAAGATCTGGTTCTGAAGCTGCTGCAACTGCTGCAGCTGGTTGAGCCGCATCTGTTGTTCCAGTAGCGCTGCCTGTGATGGCGCGGACATCTGTGCAGAAACGCCTTGTTGTGCGGAGGCGTCCTGCGAGCCAAGCAGAGCCTGGAAGTCGAGCTGGGACATTTGCATGTTGAGCGCAGGCATCTGGGAATGGGAGAAAGCCATGGGATTTGATCCTTGAGGCACCTGGCCTGCAGACGTATAAAGGTCGGCTTCCCTGGGAGGACTAGGCTGGTAGAAGGGATGGGAGAAGTACGGCGGATGCGAATTTTGCGCGCCAGAGTCGGAGCTCATGGCTGCTGAGAAGCGGTAGACCAGCGCCTAAACAGCGTCAATTTGCTCCCATCACCTCCCAGTCGCGCGTCATAGCGTCTTGTGTTTAATTTATGCTTCACATCCCAATCCCGTTTAGCTCAGTTGGTAGAGCGCGTCACTAGTAATGACGAGGTCAGTCGTTCGAGTCGGCTAATGGGAACTTTTATTTATTATTGGTGTCTTTTGGTGCCTTGGCCTTATCAACATCTGACTATCCTACGTTTTCTATGATCGTCCCTATCCCTTTTGTCCCACTCATGCATCTTCAATGAGATCATTTGCCACATGCTGCTTTCACTGGAGTGCTCAGCTTGGTCCAGGCCGCCCATTTCTCAGTCGATCCAGCTAGACCGAGCAGTCACTGAATTGTTGGACACAGATTTCCAATCGGCAGAGCCGAGGTGGATCCATTCTAGGCTTCTCCCACATACCCCTCCGGCGTGTGCAGGGAAGCCACTCTGGTGGTGTGGGATTGGAGATCGCCGTAAATAGTCAGCGAATGGCCCCATGCGTCTTACCCTGATTTCTCGGCGAGATGGCCATCACACAACGCGCGTGACCTCCCAGGCCATCCGGCGGAACCGCCCCCACCCTGCGAGGCCGGGATCCGTCCCTAGCATCGACGATAAGATGACTCGCTCGGACCCAGGCTCGCACGCCGGACACCCTCGATAACTCTGGCAGATCAACGGCAACTGGAACCGTCTTGCCATAGCGAGGAGCAATGCGACGAGATCCTGGCGCTGGTATGTATATTTATCGGCCAACGAAACTGCCCGCCGGGTTTCAGAACGTAGATTTCGATCCACGCCGCCAGGAACTGCCATCAGCACCGTGAGCTTGGCCTTATAGGATCTCGTGATTGTCCAGTAATTATTGAGGGTACACCATGTCGCTGGACATTGCTCGAAGTGGATACGTTGAAGGATCTGCGCTGCTGATAGTGGCGCTCGACCTGCGTTCCCCATAAATGTTGCGGTAGCCAGGTGGAGCCAATAAAGACATTTGACCCTGTTTGGACGTCAGACCGATTCTATTTGCGGGGTGCGAGCCCATAGAGCTGTGACAGTCGGGTCGGAACAAAGATGAGCAGGTGACATCGAGCTGTTCAAATGCCGATGAGCAAAAAAAGGAGCTCGGTTCTCATCGCAATGCTGTGACTGTCAGTAAGTCATCTTGGCACGATAATATCGCTTCGCTGCGACGAGTGTCGGCTGGTGATGAAGGGAGCCGTTAATATCCAAGCCATATCGAGGCGACGCACACGCCGGCGGATCAGTGGAGAAGTGGCTAACCGCACCGATGTTAGTCTGCATTTTTGAAAGCTATCACGACAGTGGCCAAGTCCCGTCAAAACTTTCGTGCGCGTTCCAGCAGAGCCCCCAGCGTCCGGTGACACCAAATCCTTCAAAATGAACCAGGCGCAAAGGTAAAAAGACAAAGAAACGCTGGGCACCAAGCCTGTCTATCATCTGCGTCCGATTGTGGCCAAGCCAAACCGAGCGTGATCTCGATCGTCACTGAGCAAATCCTCGCGCCTAGAGCCTCGGCCGCTGGACTAGGTTCGGGGGGGAGCGTACAACAATGGCAACCCTAGAGCTGCTCGGTAGCGCCGTAGATAGTCGAGCGGTACAAGGGCTGGAAATTATGAAATGAAAATTCGCAGAATGTATGTGCGATCCGTGGCGGAAAGTGCCAAAGCGGCTGCGGTCGCCGTCTGTTTGTGCTTGCCCCCGCAAATCGAGACATTTAATGGAAACAGTCTGCTTCTGGTCTACTTCGCTCCCGCAGAATCTTGTCCACTTGATACTCGGCCGCAGGACTGTCGTCATGATTCAGTCAGGGAAATCGCAGAAATTAACATCTTGAGTCCGAACACGACGTCCCTTCATTTCTTCATATTTACGCGCCTATATATATAACAAAGGACTCCGTTCCTGGCGGCGGAACCCGACCGTGACGTACGCCAGGAAGACAAAGCTGCTCTTTCTTGGTCAAAGCCAAATTGGCAGACGGACAGGACAGTCGCTCCAGGCCGCCGCTTCCCAGGAATCAAAGTCTCGCAGTGCCACGCATGCATCGGCCCAGACAACGAGCGTGCATTCCAGCGCCAGTCGCAAAACACCAGAACAAATAGTCCAAAAAAATTCCAGATCAAGCATTCCCAGAGAGCCTAGATCCGGCCGTGGTCCACATATCCAGCCTCTAGGAGATGGCACGAGCCAGAATGGCCGACTTGCTGTCAACAACAAAATCAGCTAGGCCACTGCACCCATCGCGGGGAAAACCACAGCCGATAGGTAGCGTGTTCCACGCACAAAAGGGCAACCAAATACACGGCAGCTTTACGAGGTTAATCAGACGCAATCCGTCAAGCCAGAACAGCGCCCACCTCCACACTGAGGCCAGATAGTCGAGAAGTCGCGAGTCACGACGACGGCACGTCGCCGTCCGTTCCAGGGACGTAAAAGCACCAGCCCAGCAGCACATCGCGACGGCCGTGATCCTGAGGCCTAGGCGGGATCACCGCCCGGAAAGCGCCCATCCCGGCATGGCGGGCTCATTGCCGTCGGCGCAAAGTCGGGCACCGCGGTGCGCGAGAAGGGCGGGCGGCGGCACAGTGTCTATCCGCCGCAAGCTGTGCACGGGCGGCCTATGGAAGAGGGAGGATATCCGTGCGTGCGAGACGCATCTGGGCGGGCACTGTGCGGCGGGTGAGAGGCACATTTCCCTGTTGAGACAATAATTCAGTCGCATCTGGGGTGTAGGAGGACAGAAGCGGAAGGTGATTCTGATCCAAGATGTCCCAACATCGAGAAAATTTTCGGACGCGGAAAAGCGCAAGTGGCCACTCGAACCGCAAAAGATGCAGGCCTGCAAGGGGCTTTATGATTATCGCACCAGCACCGCGTGGCAACTGTGGAAAAATCGTCCACAGAGACAAGAGCAGCCTCAGCAGGAGTATGGTGCGAGACCGGTTTTAAAGCTCCGGTGGCGCTACGCCATGGCGGGGTGGCGCTCGTCCATGATGCACCCACTGGCCCGGGCGGTGGCGCTGAATCAGTCAATGTGCTCCTGCGTTCCGCGCCCGAATATACACACCGCCTGAGTGGCCGGTAGGGAGGCCATATAGTGCCCGATGGCTATCGCGCACATCGGGCGATGCGTAAGACCTCGGAGACGACTCTGTCGAGTTCCCATGGACTCGTTAATTGCGCTGCTGGTGCTGCAAAGGTGTAGGATCTTAAACAGTGGCGATGGCGGCGGTTGCGAGGGGACACACACAGGGTGTCCAGATGCTCGCAAACTGGGGGGGTGGGACTCGCCCTGGGGCGCAGTATCGCAGTGCGAACTCGAGGAACACGCCCGCACATGGTCCGTGCGCGAGCACATTGTTCGTCCCTAAGAAGAGCAGACGAGTCCTGACTAAGATACCTCTATTGGACAGTCGTTTGTCGGTCGGGCTAGATACAAGGACAAAGGCGGTGAATCACCTGATGCGTGAGAGAACAATGATATGTTGGCTGAAACCCACCGCGGCCGACTACGAAAAAAATACTCACCACGAACGACGCTCCAGGAGTGTGCGAGAGACCAACCACCTTCATACCGTCCGTGCGGCGGTGGGTACTCGGACGGTGAGGATGTTACATGGCGCTCGGAGTTACTCCTTTTAGAAGTTGGCTTATTGTTGCATTGTTGCAGTTCCATGACAACTGAGGCGCTCCGTGAACAATCCAGGGGAGCCAATGCTCGCCCGACGAAGAACACAAAGCAACAGCGTAGGCTGGGAAATGAGCCGGACAACAATAATATAAATAAGACTAAGAACTCGAGTAATGTTGCACCAACCGAAGACTTCGCGAACTATAAATGGCACAAAGACTATTTTTTGCTGCGTCCACGACAGCCCGCCAGGCCGGGCAGGGTGGACGATCTGAACACGGTGCAGCCTGCTAGTGGAGGCGCCGAGGGGAGAGAGACGTGTCGTGGGTGTAGGATGTGCCGTAAGCGCGAGGAGGATCGGGTAAGGACAGTGGTGATGCCGGGGCCCCACCGAACACAGGATTTTGAAATCGGGTAGAGCCGAGAAAGAGGGGCTCCAGCCAGCGGGAGGCTTGGATGGGTTAGTGCCCAATGTCAGCGCGGGCAACACGAGGAACAGGCCTTCTTGATGAAAATGCAGGGCAGGAAGACGAGTGGGCAATTGAGTAAATATTCGTAATGGGAGACGGACCAATCGAATGATGAGATGATGCTGTGGCCCAGCATTCTACGATAATGGTCCGGGCGTCATGTGCCGAGCGGGAGGGCATCCCACACTATACCTGGCGGAGGAGCGGGCTGGATCTGCTGTGCGCCCGCTGACAAGGCCTGGCTTATTGCGAGGGAGGACACTGTGAAAATCGCGGACTTTGTATGGCTGCGGCTGGAGCGAAGGGCGAGGAGCACTAGCACTGGGGCCGGGGGCACGCGGGAGGAGGCATGGTGGCTGCAAGGGACGATGGGAGGAGTCGTTGGGGCGGTGGTTGCGAGGAGGGTGGCTCTGGCTCCGCGTTAGAAGACGATGATAGCGTTCTAGCACACATTCGCTGACTTTGCTGTCGTGGAATGGGGGCGCAGAGGGTGGGCAGATTAGAACGCCGTCGGATTCTCAGGAGTGTTCCGACGCTGGTGTTGACACTGTTCGGGCACTCTGGGCCCGAATGGCCTGATATGGGCTGGGACGATCTCTCGCACAGGGCACTCTCGTCGAGCCCGGGTAAGCAGACGGCGGGCGGGCGTGCTGGGCACGGCTGGGAGGAGGCTCAGTGGCATCGTGCGGACCGTCCGGGTGCGTGGACGGAGCCTGCGCAGAGGGCGACAGGAGGCCCACTGCGGGGCTCGCCGGCAGGGCGTGGCATGAAACTCGAGAAGGAGCGGGATCAGATGTCGGCAAAACCGTGCTCGCCGCTGGATTTATCGTTTGAAATAATATCTGCGGGCGTGATGGAGGCGCGTAGCGGCCAAAGAAAGCTAGACCACCGAACGTATGCCATGGAGGCAAGCGAGGGTCGGGGTCCCAGCCCGACTCGCGATGACGGCGAAGGGCCCGTCGGACGCAGCAGGCGTGGGCACTGTCGCTGTCGCTGTCGCTGTGGCCGACGACGAGCTCGGACGCTGGGGCGGCGAGGCGACTCTGTGGAGATTGGATCAGATTGTGGGAGCCATCTTCTTGGAAGCCGATAAGTCGAACGCAGTCCGCGGAAGGTTCGGTGCGCATATTACATAATCAAATGCCACTGGGGGGCCGCGTGCTGCCGTAACAGAATACAACAACGTATAAGTGCCTCTACCACGCTCCACCGCGACTTCTCCTCCCCAGCCTTCCTCTGCCCCTGCATGGCCATTTCCATGTCCTACTCCCTCCCTCCTCCAAAACGGCGACGCACTGCCACCTCTGTCCTATCTGGCGACTTTGATCCCCGCCCGCCCCGCGACGTCTTGACCTCCCTGCTGAACGGTGTCTCGATGTACAAAGAAGTCGAGCAGCTCGAAGAGGTCCGCCGCAGCCGCAAGAGGAAGGACAAGGAGAGGGAGAAGGAAGATCTCGAGAGAGAGAAGAAACGCGCAAAGACAACCCCCAAGCCCCCCAAGCTCCCTCCGCTCCCCGCCGCGTCCACATCTCTCCCCGTCGCGCCCTCCGCTGGCGTCCCCAAGCGCCCCACAGCGATCACCGCCCCAGTCGCCTCTAGCTTCTGGCGCGCACGGCCAGCTATTCATATTGCATCTGCGACCCGTTCAGTGTCCGTCACACCACCGCCCATGGACTCGTCGCCGCCCCCGACTCCTGGCCCGTCCATCTCCTCGACGACGTCTGCAACGTCGTCCAAGCGGCCACACACACCTGACGACGGCGAGGACATCCGCAGTCGCCACCGGAGCGAGACGGCCACTCCACCGCCGAACCGGCCGAGAAAGAAGCGGACGGCAGTTCGCAAGGGCTGGAAGGGCTGGGTCGAGGGCTCGCCCCCGCCGTCGGAAAAGCTGATCAACCTGGATGTGGTCAACGTCCTCCAAGAGAGGAAGACGAGGAGTGGGAAGAATTTTGATGCTATCGGCGTGGGCAAGGATGGCTGGGTCTAACCATTGTGCGTCACCCCGTCGCGTTTACGGTTCGATTGGGCTCATTTTGCCGCACAGGGACGGTGGTCGGTCTCTGGTGTCTCTGGCAGAGGAAATTGGCTATGCTCGCTACCGAGCACGATGCTTTGTGTGGATTGACTCCACGATGCTGCGCCCAGCCTGCGGGCGCCTTGGATGAAGGCGCTGTGTGACGTTTATGTGTTTGTCTCTATCGTACACTCTCGGTCCCGTCCCTTATTGGTTTCTCTCTTCTCGTCGGGTCTTTCAATGATTTGGGTGCTTTCCTATTGCAACATCTTGTAAACATATATACCGTGTCGCTAGCAATATAAACTGACAGTTAGAGAATGGATACCCTCGCAACCATCGCTGAGCAGCATCTGAGTGATTGATGGCGCCGAGAGCGCGCGCGTACGTGCTGTGGCCGGGGAGCGAGCGGGCGGGCGGGCAGGGCGGGACGACGGAGGCGGGGGCGGCGTGATTTGCCATATGGACACGGTCGAT